TCAAAATAACATAATTGACCGACTGTGTGTATGTGGTCAAATAAATATCTACTTCAATGATAAAAAAACAAAAGTAGTGCCACTTATAGGCAGATGTGAAGAATTTGTAAGTGAGAAAGAACAACCTTAAGGAATTATTGCCACTTTATTTTTAAACAAGAAAATGTCTGACAGAAGATGTTTATTTTGAATTAAAACAAATTTCATCGCGTGCTTACTAAGTGATATATACTCGTGTTTTTTCCGTACGAAATTTTGTATGAACGATATAGATGCATTTGAACCATCGTTCTTTCGATAATACTTTGATCTGTTCGCATCCTATTACAGGAAATATTGTAAAAATTAGGAGAGACAATCAATCATACTTATAGCTTGTTAATTTCAGTAAATTTAATTCAAGCAGTTAGAATCTAAATTTTTTCTAACAAAAAATTGTCATACTATTCATTTTATTACAAAATCAATCGATTCTAAATGGAAACTAGGACGAAAGAGTATATACATACAAACAGGAGAAAACTTGCACTAGTATCAGTTATTATGCTAGTAATTTATATTAGTTCGATTTGTTGATCAATTAATCAAAACTATCGTTGAAATGTTTTGTCTGTTGTTTTGTAATATATCGTGAGACATATATTATTTTGTTTTAGCGTGAGATAGTCAAGAAAATATAAGTTATTGTTATTATATGTATATGAACAAAAGAACAATGTAACAAAGGATTTTTGAACCGAGGTCGAACCATATGTTTTGTAATTTGTAACATGAAAAAAAACTTGTTCTTTTTTATTTTCTTTCTCTTTTTCTTATCAACAAAATAACTGTCAAGTTTATAAACGCGAACTATAATGTATGATTATGACCACCACTACACGCTTTCGAATTATGTTTTACGTCACATTGTCCTCTCCTTTTATTTCAAGTGCAAAACTGTCGAACTGATTATTTTTAAAAAACATGAAAAATTACCTATGAACAACGTTCTTTTTTTCTTTTTATTATTATTAAAATTTTTTTTTTTTTGTTTTTTATACAAATATGCTTATATGCGGGCACTTCAATATTTGACAACATACACTCACAGTTAAATCTAATCATTTAAAATTGATATAACCATTATGGTTTATACAATAGAACATCAACAACATGATGATCAACGCCAATGATAAAAATACATTAACCATGAACAGATAGAGAAAAAGGCTTACCACTTAGATGTCTAGTCAAACTAGATTTTGTATTCATCACTTAAACTCATATTCATTTAATCACGTAAAAAAAATTTTATATAGAGAAGATTAGACTTCAGAAAATTACTGATAGATTATATTCTCGCCAGATTCGTCTTTATCGAAATTTCATACTCTTAATTAGTTAGATTTCTGGTTAAAAGTTTTTTGGTGAATATTAAGAGTAAAGGACAAGATGAATGTAAGAAAAAGTGATGATGAATAGGCTGTTGATACGCCTGAGGAAAATGTGTACCAATTATTGATTAAAGACTATCATTGGCATAGTTCTGCGAAATATTCTCATGAAAAGAACAAGGAAGAAAGTATAAATTCAATGTGTTATCCTTTTTTTACGTGTATATTGACTTATTTGAGTATAGAATCAAAAAAAAATTTTAGCACATTTTCTTCCCTTTTTTTTTATTACTATTAATACCAAACGGTGCCACTGCCGACAGATCGATTATGTATGTATATCTCATTTAATTGCACTTATTTGGTTATTCTAGGCTGTTATAAGCTTGATAACACCTTGATCGACATACCTTTTACCTAATCGCTGTTGTGATGCTGGTTATTACATTGCTTATTTAGAAATAAATTAAATAATTATTTATACACTCACTTATTCGCTCCACATATCAATGACGTTCACTGATGGTCAAATTTGACAAAGACACACACACACGCACACATAGACTATTTTCTTTTTCGCCTTATATTATTAACTCGCAATTGTAGCTGTATTTAGATCAAAAAAACTAATGTAGACTATACGGATCTAGGACAAATATATACGTACTGTGTTCGCTTGAGATATATGGATAAATTAAAAAGAAAAAAGAAAGAGACAGAGAGAATAAAGAGAAAGAAGGAGAAGAGGAATACAATACAAGTTTTTTCTTTTCCATTTCATAAAAAACTTTAAAAAAAAGAGAAGAATAATAACAACAAAAACAATAATAATAAAAGAAAAAAAAAAAACGTTGATCGACACTAGCAGATAAATGTGAGAGATACTGTACCGATTCTTCTGATTCTATTGCGTTCAATTTTTTCTTTTCTCAGTAGATTTGTTCTCATCACATATCTTATGTATTTAAATTTACAATAGAATTTGCAAAAACATCTAACATTTGATCATTGAAAAAACAGAACGAAAGAAAAGACATTGATCTTCTTTAAGATCACGAATATCACATACCGATATATACACATTAATGAAATAATTAATTACTTAAGTTGTCTGAGCTCTATACTCTACTCAAATTCATGAAATGCTATAAGTCGGTTGATTTTTGTTTTGTCACAAATATGAGACTTTCCTTCTTTTTTTTTCTTTTATCTTATACTAAACTATAGTACACTATAATATTCCGTTATTTTTCCACACAGTTTGGTATGTTAGAACATCAACTCAGAATGCATATCTCAAATTTCTTTTTTGAATACTACTGTGCATTCCCTGGAGTGATAATCCCTCTTTTCTTCGATCAATATAAAATGGATCATGAAGGTCACCATCTTCTCTTTATTAGAGAACTCGCCCACTAAAAAAACTTTAGTCAAATGTCTGCTATGTGTGAATGTCAAATTAATGATCCCGTATTTACAAATTAAATGTATATGAAATTGTATATCAAAAATGGAAACAATAGAAGAAGAACAAGAAAACTCTTTGTTTTGTTTCTCTAATTCTTATCTCACAAGGTTATACCATAATTACATTACATATGACGATGTTCAGACAAGTTAACTACTAGTGAAACGTATCATACCATATGTCAAGAACGTTTAAAATGAGAGATTCTAATGTAATCAATTAGTAGCAATCACATGAATTGCTTTAGAATGACCCGAATTACTACTACAACTATCACTTCAATTTTAACCTTGCATATGAAGATAAGAAAAAAAGGTGCTAATGAATAACATCATTTTATTGTTGTTATATAATTAGTTACGAGTACAGATGAAAACCCATAATTTGTATTTTATTAGGTTAACAATTAGACAAAAAAAGAAATCTGTTATATAGTTGAAGATTTGATAGAATAGTTTAATAGAAATTACACGAAATTTTTCATTTAAGAATAGAATTTTGTTCTACTAGTAGTAAGAATAAATTTCATTTAGAAAAATATTAAAATTTATTCATAAAAAAACATCTTAGAGAAGAAAAATTAAATTACTTTTTTGTTAGTGTCAATAAACAATATCCTTGATTTAATATTTGTATTTGTAAATACATACATATACATATTAAATTTACAAATCACTAACTAGTCTCAATTTTCAAATATAAAACAAAATAAATTTTACTCTAATAATTTCCATAAATACGAGCATTATATTTAAACATTTTTTGATAGATTTCTCTACTAAAAATAGAAAATATCTTTAATTTAATTAACTTAGATAATGATGTACATTTTTTTAGAATAAAGTTTAGTCCAATATAATTAGTTAAATTATATTAAAAAAAACTTACCGTCTATGTTACGGTTTTTTTTGGTATAATAGCAGATAGTATATGTATATAGAAAAGCGACATTCATCATCTGATATTATCATTCTAATAATATAAATAGTAAAAGATGGATGAAGAATTAGTAACGCTTGTTGAACGATTAGTTGCAAACTTGCCGTTCACAATGATTGATCATTCGACAATATAATGTTCAAGTGTTCATTCATTCTTGAAGGATATGATGTTCAAATTTATATGCAAAATATTTTATTTTTCAAGTGGTTTTCATTTGACACATACATATCGCGTATAAAAAAAAAAGACCTCCAATATATATTCAATTATAAATAAGATCGTTCAATATATCATGTGCTTAAATCAAACACTGTCGATTTCTGACAGGTATACCTCTTATTACGACACAAAATGCGTTTTTTTCTTCTTTCTCGTCTTTTTTTACTTTAAGATTTTTATCATTAAGACATGTACGATGAGTGATAATGAATATTTTCAGTTGATCTAACACACTGATCGTGAATGATATTAACGATTTGTTACCTTATCGAGAATAATTTATCTCCGAAAACGTTTTTATCAACTATAGATCAAAAATTACAATTGAAGAGTTATTCATTGACAATCGTATTGTTACGTTGTTCTAAATATAATAAAGATATACGCTTCTATTTCGGTTGTGTTTTAAAATAATTTGAACTAAGTGTAAAATAGGAGTCGTGTGTATGTTCCAGTGAATATAGATACAATGATACATCGACGAACAATACAAACATTTAAATCACATATCAAAATGTGATATTTTAGAATCGAAAATTGACTTCTCTGCAACTATAGTGTGACTATGCTAAAAATGAGTCTGTTTTTTTGTAAATTGTTGCAAATCAGTAATATTGTTTGTTTTTTGTTTACTGAGCGATGGATATAAAGAATTATGAAACCATCTTTCAACATGAAGAATCCATGAAATTGATGCGTGGTGTTATTGATTTAATTGTCAATAATAGTGAGAAAAATAGTATAATAAAAAATAATAATGTATTGATAAATGAAATAGTTGTTGAATGTTTAAAATGTATGACTGAACTGCGGAAACCGTTTAAATATGTTGTAAGTTATTTAGTATTTAAAAATTAAAACAACATCATTCTATTCATACTGGTACATCAACCTATTGGGATATGCAACTTGATGGATCGTGTGCATTTAGATGAGAAATATGTCTAAGTAATTTATTTGCTTTACTGTATAAAACAATAACAAAAATAAAAGTATTATCACACTGCTAGTTTTTCTAAACGAAAGGCCCATGCATGAGCCTCTTGATTTGTACTATTACCGTACATAAATGTTGAAACATCAATAATTATACCTTGCTCTTTCTCTGAGCTAACCCAATTCAGTGGTGTATCATCATAACCAAGTAAATAGACTTTAGTACTGGATGACGGTGTTGGCGCACCTAAAACTAATTGCGAATCTACAGGCCATTTTAATGCGAGTGCATAAACAAATGTTGTTTTGGGATTCATTGTATACCTATGAAAAACAAAAAGCAACTAGTAATTTGAGAATTATATTGAAACACACATACACATACCACACATTTGCGTTTTGTGTATCATTTTGGTACGTCCAAGGTCTTGTATTATAAATTGCTTCTCCGTTGATATTCAACCATCTGCCTAACTGGAGTAATCGTTCTTGCATGATAGGAACGATTTTTCCGTACGATGTGGGACCAACATTAATGAGAACATTTCCACCACAACTGACACTTGATATTATTTCACTCAACAATTCATCGATTGTTAAATAGTCACTAATCTTTGCTTCTCGTCGAAATCCCCATGAATGCTTATCCAACTAAATAAAACTAAAACTCGAACACCAACTACATTACATAAAGTTTGAAAAGCGACAGAGTGAGCGACTGAACTTTTGCTAGTCCTGTATGATAAACACTTATCATGCTCAAATCAACGATCTAATTGAATAGATAGAGAGAAGAAAGTTTCAGAACGAAAATTAATACCATCACTGTTCAAAGTTTGTTTGTGATTTTCGTTTTTCAAACACTTAAAATTTTATAACTCGAAAACAATAGCTCAGATTTCGCGCAAACACGACATTCCAGACAATCAATAATATTTAACGACTGCGAGTATTATCAATTCGCTACTGCTTATCGTATGACCTATAACCGTTACAGAAGATCCAGGGTCGTAAAATAACAAAAATTAAAGAAAGTATGATGAAAGTAACCTAGCAACGAGTAGCAGAAAATCAATAAGGCTCCGGATTCCGTCATCTTAACGAAATTTATCAATAATTCGATAAAAAACAACAAGAAATACGAACCCACCCACCGTCAGACAATTTTCCCATTTATGATTAACTAATTTTCCTGGATTATATCGATCCTCACAGGTATAGAAATCTCCATGGTGACATGCGATGTCCGTACCGAATCTGTCATTAACAACAACGGTATCTTTAACAGGGCTCTCATTATAAAGCCAGGCGATGAAGTTTGTTGAATTCCAATACCAGTCTGGGCCTAGATGAAAATAAAACAAATCAAATTAAATACCCTAGTAAAAATTAGTAAAATATCTTCACCTGCATCACCGTCTGACCATATAATTTCTGGTTTATAATTTAAAACAAGCTCATATAATTCAGGTAATGTTTTTTGCTAAAAAGAATTTGTTATCAGAATTAAAAGTTGTACTATTTTTCTATGTATACCTGAACAAATTTTGATGTCTGAAATTGATTTTTTGCATCTTCGTTGTACAATGGATTAAACCATTCGAAGAAACTATGATACAGCCCAAATTTTAAATCTGTTCTATTACGAATACTTCTCGCCAAATCGCCTTAAAATATAAAAATAGTTAATTGCACTTCTCATCCATTTGAAAAAAACGTTACCTAGAAGATCTCGATGTGGTCCTACATCCATTGCATTCCAATTCCACGAATATTTTGATGGCCATAACGTAAATCCTTCGTGATGTTTACTTGTTAATACTACATATCTAAAGAATTATAACTTTTTTCTAGACTTCTTCACTATTTGTCATAAGAGCTTACTTTGAGCCCGAATTAGCAAATAGATCAGCCCATTCATCTGGTTCAAAAAATTCGGCATGAAATTGATTGGCAAAATCGGCGTACGTCCAATCGGGCGGATAATTTTTATTAATAAAATCAACTACAGCTTGAACAGGTTGAGTGCCTTTCCAATACCATTCGAACCATTCACTTACAAACGATGGCACAGAAAACACGCCCCAATGGATAAAGATTCCAATCTTGATAGCGAATAACATGAGAATGTAGAACAATGTTCATTGCTCATTTATTTGAGTTACTTACTTTAGCATCATCATACCACTGAGGTAACGGATGTTTGTCTAATGAATTCCAGTTTGGTTCATATTGAGAAAAAATCATAGAAAAATGGATGGCAAGAAAGAGAAAAGTGTAATAGTGCAACAACATGATCTATAATCATCGTTCCATAATATCTATTCAGGTTTTGACATACACTCCATGCTCAACACATCATTCTCACAATAATAGGAGTAAATTACCGATCTGATAGTATTGCGTATCATGTAGCAAGTGGCAGCAGAATACTTATTTAGTTCGACAATCAATCCATCTTTGTGCGTTTCTATACGAGCAGTAGCATTCTGAATTGTTCGCCAAAGGATATGTGGCTTTATAGTTCTTTAGTTATCATATAGTTCTTTTTCTAAAATATTGGTGGATAAAACATGACCTTAAAGCCACATATCTTTTCATCATTTTTTTAGCAAAAAAATATGTACAAAAAAAGTGTTTTTCATAACAATAAAAAAAAGCAAAAGCAAAACACAGTTTATATTTGAGCTTTGGATAATGGTGATATCAAAATAACGCCGTCACCTCGAACAAATAACATTGGAATTTGACGTTTCGATGGCTAAACAGAAAATGTTTAGTACTTTGTTGTTACGTATTATTGATTTTAATTAATATATCTACCCTATAAATTTCTTCAAATGTTTCTTCATCAATTTCAATTGTTGTCACAGTTTCTTCTACTTCACCTAAGATCATATTTAAATGTTGATCAAATGCCTAACAGAGACATACGTAAAATCTATAGAAAAGCTTTGATGAAGAAAAAGTAAAAGTACTTACATGCAAACGTCCTCGTAATTCTCGTTCGTTACGCATTTTAACACAAACTTTTTCATCTAAACTTAAACGCACAAGGTCAAGTGGTTCTTCAATTGTGCTTCCTTGAATAACCGGCTAGAAGACAAATAATAACATATGAAAAAAGCTAGTTTCTATTGTAATGTGTTAACACTTACTTGATCACCATCTTCAGCCATTTGAAAGATCGTCAACTAAAATCGCATGAATAATCTTCAAATCTATAACATACAAAAGAACAAAATACTATTTTTATTAATGATTTTTAAAAATAAAACAGACAAATTATGACTGTAATATTCGGCTGAGTGATCCAATGAACAGTGATGTACTATCGCAAACATTTTATTAACCAGCAAAAAAAAGTCATGTCAAAATAAAGCGATGACCGTTGTTCTCTTTATCACATTTTCAGTTTTACTATCGCCGTTTAACCATATATAATTTCTATTTTAGTTTGAAGTTATCGCTTGACTACTTTGTATATGAAATTAATCAGAACCATTTAAATCTATTATTCAATCGCTGTCATCTCACCAATTTTGCAAATAAATAAGTTTGTATCATTTGTTGTGTTGTGTTAAAAACGATGACCGGCATCTGGTTTAAGTTGTTCTATTTTTTTTATAAGATTTACATATTTTTGCATTAAAAAAGTCTCAAGAAATGTTGACCAGAACATATTACTTATGTTCGGTAGCATTATCAATTATAAATTTTCGAATTTAGTAGTTCGTATCAAACAAGTGTTGACAAAGATTGTCTGCTTTTGGTCATAAATAAGCACGAGTTCTAATGAGAATCTGCCAGAAAACGTACATATACGCTTTGTAACTGACCACAGAGGGTATGTGTACGCTTTGGAATTAAATGCAACGCATATAAAGTCATAAAATATGCCGATTATAACAAGGAAGAAAAAAAAGATTGTTATTCATTATTCTGTTTTAATAAAGTTGAAATACAAAAAAATAGATACAAAATTCTTAAATAAAAATGATTGTTATATATATAAAACTAAAGAATGATGAAACAAAATTTGGTATTCAGTTGAGTACTAGACTAGATAAATGATCGAGTCTTTTTTTATTTCCCCTTGCTTTTAACCAAGATTCAAAATATGTAACAACAAAACGTTGAAAACGCTATCGTTTCTCTTGATTTAATTGGGCATCCGTTATTTCATTTGCTAATAATGATATCGTTTGTTGACGTTTATCGAGAGCATCTTGATATTCAATATGTAATGGAATAAAACAATCCTAAAATAAAAAGAAAATAATCAATATCAATTAAAAATAATGGATAATATATTTTACATTACTTTTTGTTGATCTTCTGAACATATGGTACTTATTGGGTACAAATCATCAGGATTCATCAATGATTAACAACTGTCTAGGGTCAAATTTTTTCATCAGATTGTGAATCAGAACGATATCCTAAACAATATGATAGAGTAGAAATTTATTTTTCTTTTACGATTAAAAACTCTCGACTTTTTCAAGGTAATGGTACATGACTGTGTACTAAACATAGCTGCTGGATGTGTAATGAGTGGTTTATTCCATAAATTTAAATCTTTACATAATCCTGTTTTCTCCATGTTCTGGCAGTTTAATATAGAATGTATTATAAGGAGCAAATAATAAATTTGAACAGTTTAATTGTACAAGTGGACGAGTTGGTGTAAGAATATAAGATGATGATGAACGACATTGACTAGAATGAATTAAGTTTATATATTAATTTAAGAATAAAATTATATTTTATTTTAGTTACCTAATAACAAGTCGTCGACAAACAGTTGATATCGGTACATTTTCACAGTCTCTTATGTTCAATGTTGTTTAAATTGAACCAAATACAATTGTTACATCATGACATTTTCGAATTTCAACACAGCTAAAATGAACAGTAATTTGCCATCTATTTAATCTACTGAAAATTTGTAACCGAAGCGGTGCACGAATACAAATATAGAAATAACTACAACGGTAAATATGAAATTCAACCATAAATGTATTCGGCAAATGCTAAAAACAAAACAACATGAAGTCATGAAACGATGCGAGTCTCAAAATGAATAGTTCAGATATTTGTTTTCGTACTTATTCGTTCAACGACCGGTTAATCATTGTCATAAGAATAAAATGATGTCTAGAGAAGTACAGAGGAGAATCATTAACACAATTCATATGTATTATTGTATCAAACCTACTGTTCATCAGCAAAATTTTAATCACACAATACTCTACCCGATCGTTGTTCACGAATTGAATCTTAACAAAATAATATGTTCTTAAATAAAGTAGTAAAATTTTAATCATTACTTACTGTCGAATGGCAACGGTAATAATGTACCTAATTTCATTGTTTGTCCAACTAACTAATAAATAATAATTATGATCATCCGACGGCAACTTCGATTGTGATTGTGTTAAATCGGGGGCATCCATGGATTTTTAACTTCATCTTGATCAGTTTGAGACACAAAGAAGTGATGTGATTGTCGACGATGTTGTGGTTGATGATGGTGATGGTTTGAAAATAAAATTATCGAGTGTTTTAAACGACTTTTCACGTTCATTTTCTATCTAAAAGTAAACCGCTTAATAGCAAGTGGTCAAGTGCTATTCTTGTTCTTTAAATCCTTACAAAACTCAAAGCGTATTTTTTTCTCACAGTGTACACAGTTCTGGAATCAAGTACAAAGTGTATTTCAGCGCGTATTTTCAATTTAGTTCCTGTACCGTACGCTTTGAAACAAAGGCGTACGCGTAATGTCACTGCAAATAAAGGCTCGACATTTGCAAAAGAAAATATGGACTGTTATTTTCTGGTTGGCTCATGTAGAATGGAGAAATGAAGAGATTTACAAAGGTCCCTAGTTTACAGTATTCATTTTCCACACTTGAGTGACATAGCGTTTCTCTTGTTTTAGAACTTAACTATTTATCATCTATACTCAACATATCTTGCTTTTACAATTATTTCAGAGTTACTGGTTTATGAAAAACTAACGTCTGTATACAAACTTGTGTCTTTTGAGCCGCTTCGTGATATGTTTATGAATAATTACTTAAAGGGAGCGATCAGCTGAATTTTTATAAAATTTAGAATTATAAATTGACCTGATATAATTCCTTTTCAGTCCAGTTTTGACAGAGGAGTCTCAAATCTAAAAAAAGTTAAGAAAAAGGAACTACGTAGACGGGGATTGAACCTAAGATCACTCGCTCTTTGCCTTTATAACCACTAGGTCACACGCAATTATGGTAATTGTTCTGTTTTCATTTATATTCGTTCAAATATCTTTTACAGAAAATATTCGTATTTGAAAAAAACTGAATAAAAAAATTTAATTTTTCGATGAATCAAAAATTTTGAAACTTTAATTTCAATATCAATCGACAGCTCGTATGGAGCTATGTAAGAAAGAAAAGTGTTTTTTTTTCGAGGCTTCACACACTTTATGGGTTTAAAAAAATTTCGACTTATAAACCAAGATTTAAGACAATGGAAACTATTTTGTTAAACTATTAAGTCCAACATCACCAAAACGAATAAGTGTTCGAGAGGAAGGAAAATTCGCTCTCTAACTAGCGTTTCTTGAGCTAGGCAAGTTGCAGAATGCAAATTTCACCATATTTTCTCTTGAACACGATGCAATTCATCTCAAACTCAGTTAAAGCTAAGTTTAAAATAAGTGCATAACAATCTTATTTACGTTACTCAATTCTCTCTTTCGATCACTGTGTACTTATATTATTCTGAAGTTATCATTCAACTTCTTCAAGTTTTTGTATCACTTTTATATAGGCACGTGCGTTCACTGAAAAAGAAAATTGTAGTTTTTCTTTCTTCTTCTCATGTGATATCATGTGTTTTGTCTTATATATTTCATGTATTTATGTATATAATATATATATATAATATGTATGCAACAACCATCCTTACGCACGAAAACGAGCACTTTCTGTCTTTGATACATTTGTTTCCCATGAAAGACATTTTTTTAACATTTCCCATTAGAAAAGTCTTGCGAATCTTACAGCAAAAGAATTTTTCGTTGTAATGGAGATAAAGATTATATAAAATCGTTTCTTCACTCTACTGTTCATACGTCATTTTTCCACGAAACTGAATAATTCTATTACTGTAACATTCGTAAAACTTTTTTCTAATGAGAAACGTTAAAAAAACGACTTTTATAATTAAACCTTACAAAATACTCCATCAAAGATTGTAGAGTGAATGTTTTTAATTCACGGAAATTTAACGTCGATACTTTCATCCCGTATTTTGGATTAATTTCGTCGTAAACTATCAGGTAGTTTTATATTTTCCAGTACAAGAAAGTGCGATTAATTTAATGGCAAAAAAACTAATTAACTATCTCTAATGAGCAAGTAATCCCGGTATATTGGATGGAAAATGCGCGCGTTGGAATTAGTGACACATTTCCTACGCCCGTAGCTTGTTTTTTCCTATATCCAACGGGCATAGTCAAGTACAGTACAAACGAAAATAGTGGAAAAATTTTAGTTTGCCACCTAAACTGCTCAATTCGAAAACTTTTTGCTACAAAATATGTTTATCTCCTTCTGATCCCTCTACTGGCAAGGGTTTAGTAAAAAATCTTTTGTAATTATGGAGATATTTATGTATAAAATGAAGCTGTATCCGTGCATTTTTTGTTCTTATTTCCAACGTCCGTTAATTTCCAGTTGGAAAACATAGGTCGTCAGCGAATCAAATTATCTTACTACTCTAAAGCGATTTTTCGCAACAAAAAGTGTTCCGGAACGTCTGCACTCCATTGCACTCCACTGTTGCATCACGGCAGTCGTGGTGACAACCAAGCTAAAACACATATCATTTTATAGCTAAGGTGTTTATCTGTAGAATGGCATATCTCTCAGCTCTATTGAACATTTCTATGAAAAGCTGTGATTTTTTCAAAATACGGTACTTTTCGCTACTACTAAAATATAACTCTTGAAGGATTGAACGAGAGCACGAATGGTTTTCAGATTCGTAATCAGCATCCTTAAATTAGCAAAGTGGGGTACACTTGCTTTGAAATCCCAGGGAAACACCTGGAGACCTTCCCTCGTTAGTTGATAATATCGGTAAACGTGTATGAGTAAGACTAGTTTAACTGATGTTTTGCATGCGAGATACATAACTGTGAGTGTGTGCAGATGGTCATTACGCTGTTCTCAAACTAATCGTTTAACCGTGGTCGTTTTTCCTTTACTAAAAGTTGATGATATGACAATACGTGGTTGGTCCAGTTGCACAGACACTACCGCAAACACAATTCAATTTGCACAAACACTTGGCTTTTTGCCAGTGACTCCAACAACCCCGTGCCCGGGTGCACAATAATTGGTACCTTGGTAAGTATTCCCGATCCATCGACAGTAAGTAGTAAAGAGTTTTAATTTGCTTTTTTTAACACTTCACTTCAATTTTAAGACCTCACGTTCCGATCCGTTTCATTTGTTCTCATAAACGACCACACAGTGATAGAAGTTGATCTGCATTACTATCTCATATGTTTTACTAACGTCTGTTTGAGAAAAGCGTTTATATAATCGGCCAGATCACCAAATAATTAATTTAATATTGCGAATTATCGTCTAGTATATAAATACTTTGATAGATCTAGGGCTTTTCAATTGAAGATGATAGGTCGAGATAGAACTCAAAGAAAATGGTATAATATGGATTTGACAGAAGAATGATACTAATGAAAGAAAGAAAAATGGACGTCGAATTACATTTTTTCTAAAAGATAGAAGAGTTCATTTATAAATTAATTGTTTTTGTAAGGCGAAAATTATTAAAAAATTATATTGGAGCTATGTATCCCTTTTTTTTGCGATCAGAATACATATAGGCTCCCTTTGAATCGTCTTTATTTTTTCTTTTAGATTCCCATTATGTAGTCATTTTTGTAATTATAAAAATTATGAAATTTATGATAAAACGAAATCTGGTTTGTAAACTTAAGATCTTTTTTTCTAAAACGTATTTTATCATTTATCTGTTTTCTCAGATAAATTTGACATGTGTCAAATTTCTCCTATTTTCAATGTTTTTGTGAATATTAGTAAACTCGTAACGTTTGTCTTTCCAATTATTCTGGCTGTGTTGGACTATCAATTGGTGAGTTATTCTAGTTGATTTTACTTTTCTCTTGTTAAAGTAATGATTTTCAATCGTTTTAGATCAAAAGTGGATCCGACTGCTTTCAATCCCGGGCTAGAGTGGCATCCGCAGCCACATTTACAACCGCCTCAGGCTCAATCACATCATCGTCCACTGCCCCATCATACACATCTCATACATCCAGCTCAAGGAGGACGAATTCATCAAGTATTACAACCAGGACCACCATTTCCGTAAGTATTAAAACTCAGAACATAGTGAGTTAACTAATAAATAGAGAATCCATTTCAATATGATCATCTTGACTTCATGCCATTTACTTGTTCGAGCAGAGAAGTTGTGCTGATAAAGTTCTGTCTTTGGGATATTTATATGATAAAATATTTTGTTTTACTATCTATTTTCAGTGCACAACAACTACGTACATTTAGGTAAGTTATTTGATACTCGTCGCGAATCCTAAGAAGATGATTGATCATATTCTGTTTCTTGTAGGCCACCGCAAGCTTATTCTTCGCCAGAATATCGCATCTATGATTTTAATAAACGTTTATTGATGAGAACGGAGGTATGCATATTCTCTGCTGTAAAAAACACATTTGAGACTTCGCTTTTTTTAGGACTGTGATAATTTATGGTGGGATCAATTTATAACAGAATTTTTTGAAGAAGATGCCACATTAACAGTGACATTTTCCTTGGAGGATGGACCAAAACGTTTTAGTATGTGACTAGCTGTTTTGAAACGTACAGAATAAACTGAACTATCATTTTTGTTTAGGTATTGGTCGTACATTAATTCCTCGATATTTTCGCACGATCTTTGATGGTGGTGTCAATGAACTCTATTTTGTTTTGAAACAAACAAAGGAATCATTTCATACAACAACAATCACTCTTGATAGTGAGCTATGTACAATGGTTACCTGTTTTGGAAAACCAATGTATATTAAGGTAAGCATCATTTAGTTCTTTGATTAGATCTGAGCATTTGTCAGCGTAAAAATCTGTCTCTTAGCACCCTGAATGTAGCATGGAAAAATAGTATAATTTTAAATAATCTCATTCGTTGCTTGATATTTGTTTTTTTAGATTTGTACGGAAGGCCAACTGGTATTAGAATTTACATTTGATGAATTGATGAGAATAAAATCATGGCAATTTAATATTAAATCATTTCGTGAACTCATTCCAAGAAGCGTTGTAGCTATGCCAGTATGTTTTTTTAACTACAAAAACGTTATAATTATTAACATATATGATTTTGACTGTCTCTAGTCTGATCCTGGATACTTGGAACAACTAACTAAAAACATCACTCGATGTGGTTTGACAAGTGATACAATGAATTTTCTAAAAGTAAGTGTCCATTATGTAATAATTGTAAAGATGTTCAACTATCGTATTTTTTTTAGTTATGCGTGTTACTTGAACCGATGCAAGAGTTAATGTCTAGACATAAAACAACAAGCTTTTCTCCTCACGAATGTCTTAGAACAATATTACATCAGAAATGGTCAAGAGTTTGTCCTGGTAAGTCTTTCCACCTTCGTTGATTTTTTTAAATTTGTTGTGTAATTTTGTATCAGTATGGGTATTAACGAAGAATTGAATCGTAGTGAACTTTTCTAATATCAATGTGAGCTATTTTCTCAACAAGAAATATTAAAATTTTGAAGCTGACTGACCTCAAATAACTTCGACCTGTGTTCCAACTACAGTTTTCTATCTTATGCAGGGGACTGATTATCAAAGGTTTAAGAGCATTAGTATTCTTCGTATTCTAGCTACTGATATGTAGCAATTAGAGTCTCGGCAGATCTTGGAACTCAATTGTTGTTTATCTATCCGCTTATGTAAATGTGTGTGCATCTGCCTGAATACTTTTCAGAATTTCCTCTAGTTGAGGACTTGTCACCACCAGCATCGTCGTCAATGACGACTATTATTACTCCAGGTAGTATTTCTGATTCATCGAAGCTGCTTGTGTTCACAATAAAAGCTACGCTTTTTAAAGTCAGCGAAATCACATCGGACATACACAGCTTTAATTTTGGTGAGGAACTTTATTTTGCGTTGCACGTTTATATTTACGTTATTAGTAATTTGTGCTTATTTTATATTAAGAAAACTAATGCTTTCTTTACATTATAAATAGCGAGATTTTCTATGTCATTTAGCTCTCACGTTTCTATGTTAATGTTTATCTCCTTTAGATACTCGACCTGCAACTAAACCTCGTCGAAAACGAAAATCGAACATGGCAAATAATACAAATTCAAAAGACAATACGAATCATTGCTCAACACCGGCATCCAATGCAAAGAAACGATCGCCCGCACCACCGTTAAATTCATCTTGTTCTTATCCAGGGAGCAGTGTAGGAAACAATTTGCCAGGAGTAAGATTAAAAAGCAATTGGTCAATTCTAGGGATAAACGTTACCTTTTTTTTTGAAGGATGTAATGATCGTCGGAGAACCATCGCTAATGGGTGGTGATCTCGATGAAGAAGATGAAAGGTACATCACTCGCTTAGAAAATACCCAATACGATTCAGCAGCTACAATGAACATTCCTTCTCATCTTCATCCTCCATATCAACATCTTCCCCAACAGCAGCAGCAGCAGCAACCATTTCAAACTGATAACAAATCAATGATAATAAAACAAAACGATAATAATAATAACACTAATAATAGTAATTCGAGACTTTTACCAAGTCCATTTCAACAACAACCATTTGTTTTAAATCATATGAAACGAGAAGCTGGGCAACCACCTCCTTCTTCTCCCAACAGTTGTTCGCAATTACCATCAATGTTTAACTCATCACCTTCTTCGTCAACATCTTCGACATCATCATCGACAAATCAAGCGCCATCAGTTACTGGAAATCTGATGCAAAATAACACCAATCACACAAATCATCTTGTAGCATCAAATAGCAACAGTAATAGCAGCACATGCAGTAACAACAGTAGTAATGGAAATACTGCGACTAATACCAAAACAGCTACCAATTATAAACAAAATCTTTTACTTCCGCCATCAGGCACACAGAAAACATCGCTAGCACCAGTCAGCGGGCAAGGAACAAATCTAAATTCACCACCCACACCGCAATCATCAACAGCAACAGCAAATAACTACCAGGTAAGGCGGATTATGATATACAAGGCATATTAAAGCCACAAGAGTAAATTCCTTGCCTTGAATTTTTAAGTAAAATGTCATGCAGCTCTGCATCATGCATAATCTCTTTAACGTTAAAATGGTGAAGCAATCACAATTTATCATTTGTAGAATTTAGCAGTGATACGGCTTGTTTCTTTTTGTTAGATATCTCCATCGATCAATGCAAGTATAAACAATACTCCTTTATCTTCAACGACAGCAACACCTAATTCTTGGAATGGCACTTCATCTTCGACATCTAATGTTAATGTTGTTATAGCAGAGAAAAAACTTGAGCCGCATACTCCGCCCGCACAAGTGCAACCACCACCACCATCTACACCTCAAACGATATCGACTGTTTCCTAATCTCGCTTGTTATGTTTTGTTTTGAATTCTCAAAGAATACAGAGATCTTTGATATAACGATAATGTAAATTTCAAACACGCATTTTTGTAAATAGGCATAATGCATCTCTAGTAGTAGTTATTTCTCTTTTTTTCTCTCTGTCTTCTCAAGGTCTTATCTCTGTATATTCTGGCTAATAATAATAATTAGGAGCGTGCATGATTTTTTTGTATACTGATAAAAAAATGATGAATCTTGTGTTTGTTCACATTCCAAAAATAAACGTCTTGATCTGGAATGTTACTTGCACGCTGTGCCATATACAAGTATATTTTTCCCATTGTATTACTGATATTATTTATTATCACTACAAGATTCGAGCAAATTCTTTTCTCATACAGCCTTTTCTGCTTTATTTTAGGCAAGTTGTTTGTCTGTGCTGTCTTGTTGTTTGTTTTAGTTTTGTCTTTTTCTCTATCACAAACAGTGAATTCACATTCTTTGGTTTTTTCTCTGTTTTTTGAATCAAAACATCTTTTTCTCATCATGACATTTTTGTTCTTATTCTCATTCCGCAAATGTACTCTCTGCCTGCTGCCCCTTTTGCGTTTTGTTTTTGTTTTTGCTGCGCTTTTGTTTTGTACATATTTTTGAAGACACACTCGCGTGGTTGTATGTTACATTGAACTTAGAGAAAAAATGCTGTATGATGCACATATACACATTGTATACACACGAATGATGTTCTTTTTGTTTCTCAACTTTTTTTATTTGTATTTGAAAGATGAAGACAAAAGAAAATGTTTCACAAACATCAAACTAATTAATTTTATATTTTTTCTTAGCTTTGTATGATGACAGAAATTCGTTTTTCACACTTATATGGAAAAGTTGTAAGATATATTAGAGCCGTAGCAAATAAGTTATGTTAACATTACTTATTTGCTACAGCTGTATTGGAGTAATCGAAAGATACATTGCTTTCATCTAAATACAGTAACAAAAGTAGAGGTACTAACAAATAAGCGCTTGTGTAACATATTTGTTAGTATAACAAAGACGAGTTTAAAAATCCAAAAAAGTGGAAGTTGATTAGATAGTACGGCAGCCAAGGTTATTAATAACGATGTTCCTTTTTATTTATTTGGGTATAAGTCAGTAGACTGCCTTTATACGCGTTTGAAGCTTACTGTATTTATAGGGAAGTTTGTACAATTCGTGATCATGTTAAAGTTGCATTAGACATCATTGCTAGATACATATCATTTGTCTCTTACAATATGCTTTTTTTTCTTTTATTTTTAGATAAATATCTCCTGATTTTTATAATAGATAGCCTCTACTATTTTCTCGATTTCCTGTTAGTGTGTGTTTAAGCCACCCGCTCCTCCATTTGGTATATAAATATGCATTTATCGTAGGGAAAAAAAATTGTATTATTTACCCAACTTCAGATATTTGTTAACAAAAACACTTCTTTATTATTATCAAACGATCAAACATAAATTAAAATTCTAAAAATGACGGATGAACAAGAACTTTTGGATTATGATGAAACAGATGATCAGGCACAATCGACAACGGGTAATGCTGGTGGTGCATCGTCTACAACAGGAGGTGCAAGTAATGGTAGTGCTATAGCAACATCAAAATTACAAAATGGAAGTGATGGTTCATTACAACCAAAAATTGGTCGTGGTACCTATGTTAGTATACATGCATCCGGTTTTAAAGATTTTCTATTAAAACCAGAGTTATTACGAGCGATTATGGATTGTGGTTTTGAACATCCATCTGAAGGTACGTTAGATGCCTTTTTTTTATGATTACTTTAATTTCTAGAGTACTGTAAATGCCTTGAACTTGAACACGTCAATGTTTTTTTCTGAGCCTGATTCCTTCTTTAACTTCATCTTTTAATGATAATATCACTACCATTTCTTTTGTGTCTTTAAGTTCAACATGAATCAATTCCACAAGCAATTCTTGGTACAGATATCGTTTGTCAAGCAAAATCCGGTATGGGTAAAACGGCTGTGTTTGTTTTGGCTACATTACAACAATTAGAACCCGTAGATGGGCAGGTACATAAAACAGTTTCAAGTTTATCTTACACATATGGCAGTTTTCTTATATTGGTGTATTGCAGGTTGTCGCTATAATTATTTGTCATACACGCGAATTGGCATTTCAAATAAGTCGTGAATATGAGAGATTTTGTAAATATATGTCACAAGTGCGTGTTGCTGTTTTTTTTGGTGGTTTACCAACAAAAAACGATGAAGATTTATTGAAAAAAAATTGTCCACACATTGTTGTTGGCACACCGGGTCGTATTTTGGCGTTGGCTAAAAGTAAAGCATTGAATTTACGTCATGTTAAACATTTCATACTGGATGAATGTGATAAAGTACTGGAATCACTTGGTAAGTAGGCATTATTTCAATTACTAGAGTTAGAAAAACTAATACATTCACTTGATCACTTTAGATATGCGTCGTGATGTACAAGAAATATTTAAACTAACACCACATGACAAACAGGTTATGATGTTTAGTGCAACATTGAGTAAAGAAATTCGTCCGGTTTGCAAAAAATTTATGCAAGATGTAAGTATTATTTTTAGTTGTATTTACAAATAGTTCCCATAATTTCATATGTTCAATGATGTAAAAATTTGACGATTCCGATTCTAATGACGTCAAAATTATATTTGCACACTTATAAAATCTGAGAACATTATCTTTTTTATGATATTTTGTTGAACCGCGACAACATACTGTTTAATTAGGTTATATAGTTTCAGTTCAAAACCATCTTTATTTATTGAGATAATCACGTTCCTTACAGTCATACTTTCAAGGAACAAACTGTTATAAGTTAGGTGTCCATTTAACTTTGATTATCTTCAACAAAGGAATATTTGAAATATTCTATTGTTTTTTAGCCAATGGAAATTTATATTGATGATGAAACAAAATTGACATTACATGTATGTATACTTTCTATTAACATATATTAATAATTAAATAATTTTTGAAATATCATTTTTTATTTTAGGGTTTAAGACAACATTATGTTAAGTTGCGTGAAAATGAGAAAAATCGTAAATTAATTGATTTATTAGATAAATTAGAGTTTAATCAAGTTGTCATTTTTGTTAAATCCGTACCACGTTGTACAGCATTATGTAAATTGCTAATTGAACAAAATTTTCCTGCGGTTGAAATACATCGTGGAATGCCACAAGAAGAACGGTACATAAGTCAAACATTTTTGCTCTGTTTTGTTTTGTACTACATTTTATCTTATATTTTATTCTAGTTTATTACGTTATAAAGAATTTAAAGAATTTCAAACACGTATATTAGTAGCAACCAATTTATTTGGTCGTGGTATGGATATTGAACGTGTTAACATTGTATTTAATTATGATATGCCTGAAGATACCGACACATATTTACACAGAGTAAAGATTTTGATTTAATTTGTTTTTATTATTAAACAATTGCCTAAAAGACGAGATTAATTAATTAATTATCTCCAGCATACCAAGTAGCACACAACTACTCTAGGATAGAATCTAACATCGAGTTAATGATAGTCTAGTTGTTGACTAAATGACCGTTAATCAGCACGTGCCACATATCGCCACATGAATGATACCGTTTTATGATTTTTTTAGGTTGCACGTGCTGGTCGTTTTGGAACAAAAGGTTTGGCAATAACATATGTGGCAGATGAAAATGATGCAAGTGTATTGAATGATGTGCAAAGTCGATTCGAAGTACAAATAACAGAAATGCCCGATGAAATTGATGTCACAACATATAGTAAGTAGCAATTTTTCGTATAGCTAGATTTTTTCCTGTAGACTGATATATTAATCTGCACTAACTAAATTTTGTTCTTGTTTACTCAATCTAATCTTGATGTTTTATCTAATTTTAGTCGAAAATCGCTAATTGTATGTCATCATTCAATTATTCACAAAAAATTTTCAGGTGTATAAAAATTATATGACTAAAAAATATTTGTTACATTTGTTCTTGTTTCCATCTCTCTCTTTTTGATCTCACAAACACATGCACTCTCGTTCTATGAGAAAAATAAACAAACAATTTTGTCTATTTTCATCCGTTCTTTCCTTATGATGGTCTGTCTAATCTAGATGCGATGAAAAAAAAGTAAAAAAGATTCAATGAGCTTTCGTTTTTTTCTTACACATCCTCTTTTTCTGTCATCGTCTTTCTCTGTGTGTGTATTCTTTTTTTCCTTTAAATTTTTTGTTTTGTTTTTTGGTAAACAAAATGAATTTTTTTGGTACGTCGTTCTTGTAAAACAGAGAAGTACGGACGTATCCATGCGCGCGTCAGTTTTTCGAAACATAGAATGAGGAATAAAAACATCTTTTATGTTTTGTCTGTTTGTCATTTTTTTGTGGGATATGCACGCGCGTATTGTGTAGTCTTTTTCTCTTTCTTAATGTATGTTTGTTTTCGTGTGCGTGTATTATTATCATTTCTTTACTTGTTAAAATAAAAAATGTGGAAACATGAACAAAACAAGAAATCAGTAATTGTTATCAGTATCATCAATTAGCAACAACTTAGACCAACAGCTCTTAGTATTATGGAATTTTTTTGTTGATTATTTAGACTTAAATGCATCGAATTTTATGAAACATAATACGTATTCATGACGAAACATTGTGTAGTCGCGTAATATATGTAAATTGTCGTAAAAGAAAAGAATGGTTGTCAATCGCCAAGAGCATCAGAAGACCTTGAAAGCCGAAGGTTGAGAGGCAAGAATCGGACGAAATAGTTTTGACAGGAGACTAGTTTCGATCGCTATTCTCCAAGTTAATTTCACAAGAAACAAGATCGAACATACACAGTTTCTGGTTTTGCGAAAAGAAAGACTAGTGTTAGGTTAGTAATTTATAGATAAGGTCAAAGAACAAGGTCAAGAAACATTCAAGAAAATATCAAAAGTAAAAAACATCTCAGAAAGGACGGGGATTATTTGGTGAAATCGACCCATGCCTGAATTTCATCGACTAATCAAAGCCTAGATGCAGAATGAAGAGGGGAATTATTACTAGATATTTACTAGACCTTTGACCTACTCTCAGAAAAAAAGTTGGTGAGATCACATTTGATTAAGTTTTTACTGCATCTGAGGTATATTATAGATCGTATTTTTGGATCTTTCTCACGATTATTATATATCATTAGAAAGCTCTTGTTCTTCGCTGTATTTCTATATATCACATATACAGAAATAGTCGTTCTGAGGCCAAGTATACTTAGAAATACTTTTGGGTATGGAAAATGATCTTCTGCGTGCAAAAAGTCTCAGATATTCTATGTCAACATTTCTCATCCGGCCACTACAATAAATATACCATTCGACTTTTATCGCATAATAAGTGAGTTCTGATGAAGAAAATTGAGAATTACGAGCAGAATTCTGGCTTTGTAGAAACATTTCTAATGTCAAGGTGCCCTAGGACACTTTTCTCTATGTTATATATATCAAATTGTAGCTCGACAAAGTCTCTATCGAATGGTATATTTATTGTAGTGGTCGGATGAGAAATGTTGACATAGAATATCTGAGACTTTTTGCACGCAGAAGATCATTTTCCATACCCAAAAGTATTTCTAAACATACTTGGCCTCAGAACGACTATTTCTGTATATGTGATATATAGAAATACAGCGAAGAACAAGAGCTTTCTAATGATATATAATAGTCGTGAGGAATTGTGAAACTGAGAGAGAAAGATCCAGAAATACGATCTATAATATACATCAGATGCAGAAAAGCTTAACCAAATTTGATCCCACCAGCTTTTTTTCTGAGAGTAGGTCAAAGGTCTAGTAAGTACCTAGTATTTTCTTTGATAACTGTCTGTCAACAAAGCCGCTGGAAAAGAGATTTGTTTAAGGACGCACCAATCGGCTTATCGAAGACTATTCTCGGACATATTTGAAATTCCCGGTTCACACGTTTTCCCAATATTTGTACCAGTCCACGTGTAAGAAAAATTGTTCTTAGTTATCTTCTCAATGACCTCAGTTCTCTGTCATTTGCCAGGTATATTTTGTTAATAGTTTTTTGTAGGAAAATTTTCGTATCATCATTTAAAAAAGGTGAAACGAAAACATATGACTTACAAAATATTCAGGTCACTATTTATTCATAGAGACTCCGTTTTTTCACTTACATAGCCATTATTATTATCAAATTAAATATCATTATGGTATTATCACCAATGCTCAAAGTGAATCTTCGTTGAAACATTTTAGAATCCATATAAAACATCTAATAATGTAAAAGTTTGAAGGGTTTATTTTGAAGTACATGAATGGTTTTTAGTGAAGAAAGCACTACTCATTTTTTTGATAATTCATTGAGACATTTATTTGATGCCTACTAGCAAAGTTCGATGCGACAAAAAACCAGATCTAAGAAAAAATGATTAGTATCACTATTTCAACCTTTTTACTTTTGTTTCTGCATGATGGCACAATTAGTTTTTGGTAAAGTGTCCGAATTGTCATACTTTCGATAGAAATCAACTACTGATAACACCTTGTAGATTGCTCAATGGACAGCGTGAAATAAATGCTGGCGAAAAATATTTGTCTCTCGAGCTGAATGAGCGTTCGACTCAAATTTCGCGCATCTGTGTATTATTTGTTCACAATTGAAGATGATGTTCGTTTTCGGGTACTACTAAAAGACGCGAAGATCCACGAATATCCCAAATTAAAATCTGAATTAGCCCATCGATAGAGCTCGAACTGAATATAGCAACGCCTAACGAACACCCAAAAAAGTGTGCCAAATTCATTCCCAGGTTGTTCTGAGCGTACTGGTACCATTTTCAACTAGAACAAAAATCGGGTTCATTTGGGCGTTCGTGGATGTTCGCGTCTTTCAGTAATACCCCTCGTTTTCTGTCGAAACCGACTGTACATTGTTTGTTAAAATAAAGTAGACTCATCGTTGGTTTCATTATTAACACAAAATTGCATTTAAACAAACTGTTTAAATCGTGCATGACTTTAGATATGTGGTTTGACGATGCCCAACTCGATAACTTGATTTGTCGGAAATATTTTATCAACCGTGCATGAGAGACGCGTCCGAATGAAACAGAACGAAGATAAAACGCGTTTGGATTCGTTTTACCTGCGTTTTGTTTCATTCGGACGCGTCTCTCTCGAAAGAAAAAAACACCGATCTGCAAATGATATATCGTAATAAATTTTACTGCCTTTATAGAGTCGCTCTCGAGCTTTCCGAAAAAGTTTGATTTTTTCGAGCCAGTTGTTCAATCTCAAACAAATCTGAATCAAACGTGACTAAAAGAAGGTCGGAACTTTTTAGCTGTAAAAAATTCTAAATGATTCTTTAAGTAAGTCGAGAAAACCACTCGTCTAGCTCTATGTTAATAGATAATGGTTTTACATCTCCAACAAACAAACATATTTCAAATCTAGCACAACATTGTTTTTTCCTCAGCGTTTGTAAAATAAATCAAATTTGTGCTCAATATGTTTTACTTTCGGTTTAACGTCTTCAACGAACAATTGTAGAACTGCACTATCCATGAGTATACCAGCATAGATAAAATTTTTACTTCGTTTAACATTTGATTGTATAAGCAGCTCAATCAAGAACAAATCCCTGTATAACTGATGGAGCTATATTTCCTATACGATGTTGTTGTCGTCATACATTACTCACAGAGAAACAACCTTTCTGAGTTTTATTAATTTAAGGCGCTCCAAATTCGAACGTCGAGCACTATTTTATTTTCACTTCAAATATGCATTATTCGATAACGAATTTCATGCTGATTAAGAATATGTTACTTTGAATTGTTTTATTGCGCTTTTCATCTACACCTTTTGTTTGACGGTAGTCATCTTGCAAGCCACGTGCAACCTTTTGGTTAAGAGGTAGAGACAAGTTTTAAAAAGCCACTCGCTTCGCCGTTCAATTTAGAACAAAAGTATGATCATTTTTTTCGAAATCTTTTTTTATTCCGGAGAAAGTACATTTTTTCTGAATCAGGAGAGAAAAATCGGAATTCTGCCGGTAATTCTTTATTTTCTTCATCAAAACTCGTTTCTTATGCAATAAAAATATCAGAGTTAGTGTCGAAAACCGATTCGAATGATATATGTTTCGAAATTTTTCGTTGATTTTTCCACTTTTGGGTGAAAATCTCAGTAATTTTTCGACGTGAAAATTCGAAAAAAATAAAGGCGGTCTAGTTTTGGAGGTTTACTTAACAGAGATAAAATACAAAATTATTTCCTTTGTTTGTGAGGATCGTTCATATTTCTATAAAAAAAAGCGTTATGCAGAATAAACAATCAAGTCTGAACAATTATTGTCAAGAAATAATGTTATTTGTTATAAATATCTTCAGAACACTAGAAAAAAGTAAGAATTTATATGATAAAAGTAAGAGAAAATTTTAGTTGTTTATGCTATAAGTTACATATCTTTAATAACTTTATCTTTCATATATTCTAGTATGTTCCCTTTATTTTTAGTCTTACCATCAAAGAAAGTAATAACTACTTCTGCTGGTAAGAATCATATCTCAAAATTTGATAATTATTTCTATATAAATACTCTACTTAGAATATAATACTATTCAAAATGTTTTTTTTAGAAGGTTGTTCACCATATACAAGGGATGTAGAAGAAGGAAAAAGAACAAATTAGAAGGTGCCATAATGCCATAGTGCTTTCAGGCATTCGACAGTAGTGGAGTATAGAAACTACCGGATATGGACAGAATTATCATAGAACCAGGATATTATCCCAAAGGCACAAAATAGTGCTGAACGTGGCAAACTCGATGCAGAGTGAATCGTGCTCTCTGCTATCAGATGATGACTTTTAACGAATATTAACGAGATACGTTAGATCGTCATCGCATGTCCGTTTATTACACTCTACATCTAAAAGAAATTTCTTTGTATGTTAGTTTAAATATGTTTGATTTTAGTTCAATTTTCTTCTTTGAGAAAAGCGTTAACATTTTGAATAAGATTACGACTCAATATAACAGTAATTTGTTTCCAAATTGTCAAGGTTAGATCTTAAAGAGAACGAATAAATTGAATAGATGAAGGTAAAGATTATTGTTTATTGGTCTAAATATGACTTCAAAGAGTTGTTTTTTTGTTTTTTATAAGATGTACTCCAAGTTTATTTTCAAAGTGTATAACGTGATTATATTTTTTTCAATTTTATTTTAATATACATAAATAATTTTGTTCGAATGAATTGTGTCATCCTAGTTGTAATCACATTCATATGCTTTATTTTTGTTGAAAAATGAATTTTCAGATCGAACTTCTATTACTGTTTGTTATTATTAAAAAGAGGATGGATAACGAATTATAAAAGTAACTGTATCCAGATCTCTAGAACTTCAAACTAAAATTATCAATTTTCTCATATTTTTTTCCCTGATTAATTACAAAATACATGTTTTTAATAAAATGAAAATTTATGTTTTCATAACAGGTGATTACACGAGGAAGTTTTCTTCTCATTTCTATTTTCCCGTGATTGACAGAATGAAAAGAAAAAAAGTTCAAAAAAAAATCTGTTTTTTTCTGAAATAATGACAGTGACAGTGATGATGATGATTGTTTGATTTTAAGTGACAAGCGCTTATTTGTATATATATATATATATAGTTTTAACAGTGAAATAAAAAAAAAAGAAGAAAACTGACGATGGTCGTTTTTTTCTTTAAAAAAGCGACACGTTAAAAACATGCAGAAGTAGTAGCAATTTTACAAAACAAAACACAAATAATTTTCATCCATGTAGTGTTGTATGAATGAATAAAAAAAATATAAAAATAAATTGATGTTTTAAACATCTCAGAAACAATTTAACATGACAAAATCATAATTGAACAAACAAAAGAACCGTTTTAAAATATCAATAAATAGTGATGGTGATCGAAGTTCCTGTTGTTCAAATAATTAGTGATTCACAGGACGCAGCGGATAGTGAAAAAAAATTAGATGAATTAGATGAAACCACTCCTGGTGTACCTTTAACAAGTGTCTTAGGGAACAGGTAACAAAAATTTCATTTTCTGTTTAATAAAGACGTGTGATATGATGTGACTTGGATGGTAGATCGACAGGTTTATGTATTATTTATAGAGAATTTTAATCGAAGAAAATCTCAGAGTCAATCATAATTCTTTTTCATTTCTTTTAAAAGGATGTCCTCTCAGTTCGTCCTAAATTGACTTCCCAATTCGTTCCATCAACACTTCTCTCTCAATTTGTCCCTAGTATCCATGCTCACCCCTTAAAATAAATAAGCTATTGTATCATTGAACAGTTTACACTGCGAGGATGGGTATTGTAGACAATACTAGATGAGACTACATGGCAAAATGTGCTATCTTAGGCTAAGATAGCACAGTGGCTAAGATTCTTAGCCACTGTCACAAAGTTAAATTAAATAAATAAGTTAAACTGTCTTGTTCATCAAAATATTAATGTTCACATCTACTGAAAACGATAAACTAGTTTTGAATCATAATGGGTATCAATACACCAAAAAACGAGCAAACAAAACAAATAATCGATAGCGGTGTGTGGATCGAACATTTTCTAGAACAATATCATTATTTACAGACGATGAAATGAATCAACACACATGCAAACCAGATACTATCAAAGTCTGCATTGATATTGCTGTTGATAATATAAAAAAATGAGCAAGAAAGAAAACACTACTTATTCCAAAAACATATTCACAAGAGATCGTCAAAGTAAGAGTTACCAGTCCTGGTCTTGCAATTGGTCGTGCATTTTCAAGATTTCCGAATGTTGATACTTCACTTTATTGTCGTAGGACGTTTCTATTACCCCAAATTGCCAACAACTACTGATGAAATCGCTTTCACCGTCTTATGGAGGTTGCTTAATTAGCTTACACTAATTAAGTGTAAAGTAATATGAGACGAATTTCGAATTGAGAAAAAACCTTCATGGGACGAAGTGAGAAGTCAATTTGGGACGAATTGAGAGAACACCTTTAAAAGATACTGGTACCTTAATATCAAATTATGTCAGTCAAATAATGTCTGAAATGCGTTTCGAAGGCGAATAAAATTAAAGATTCCTAATTATGTTCATCCTATTTTGACTAACGTATACTCTCACTATTTCATTCATTTATGTATATAAGAATCATTTAGACTTACTTATGAACCATAGATCATATTACTAAGTTGTTAGAAGAGTATCGTTATTTAAAGTACAAATCTATTGTTGATACTTTCTCCATTAAAAGATAATTTATACTTGTTGTTGTCATAAAACAATATTTTTGATATGATCAAACTTGTTCTTCTACGGATATTGTCCTTTTTACAGGAAAGAACAAAATCAAAAACATCATCAATTTTTTTCTCATTTCTTATAATAGTATTATATTATAAGAAAAGTATATGATGTATACAATACGACATACGACCTTATCAGTGCATCAAATTACTTCTTCTTTTCTCTTCTCTTTTAGAATTAAAAACTCCTTAAAGTTTAAAAAACGGTATTCTTCTTCATTGTATACCTTCACCAAAAAAAAAAAAAAACAAAGAAGAAAATCGAGTATACTTACTTTTCATTTTCTAAATCGAGAGAAAAAGACGAAGAGGGAAAGAGAACAATTATTCGATCTACTCGGATGATTGTGTTATTGTGATTAGTTTCTGAGAAAAAGAGGAAGATGATGATGAACAATTGTACGTAGAAGTGTATAGGTTGTGAAATTCAAGAGCTTTTTCTATCTCTTTTAAAATAAAAAGAACAACGCCGACACACTCACTCTCTTTTTTATTCTTTTGATGATCTATTTTATCAAAAAATGATGAGACCACGAAAATCTGCTCGAACCAAGTAGGATCGTAATTCATTTTCATCTCTTTAAAAACTGTTTATTCTCATTTTTATTATTTTGTTATTCTTTTAGCAATGAATTAATCAGTATTGAAAAGAAGTTACGTGTAGAAGATTTTCGTTTACTACGATATCGTTTTAATAATTCAAATCAATCAGTTAGTGCTGCTGATCAAACAGTCAATCTTTACGATGATAATGAAAAATATTTGGGTAAAATCTTTTTGTTATCAATAATTATTTTCTATGGTAAATGACAACGTTAAAAACTTCAATTTTAGGATCATTGAATAAAGAAGATTTTATAGAATCATTTGAAACCATACTCGATGTTAATCAATATCGAAATCAGTTAGAAAAACTATTTGACAAGGTTAGTAACTATTCTATGAAACTTCTTTTAACTAAGATCTTGTGAATAGAAATTTCAAGATATTGGATAAATCTCGTCAAGATGTTTTAAGATTTGTGATAAAAATATTTTTCTATTTTCTTTTCATATATGAGAGTCGTAATCATCAGATGTATGATTTGTATGTGATCGTAGACTCTTCGTTGAACAGAAGTTATTTTAAACAACAAAAGTTTTGAAAAAGAGGAGTCAACATTCTCAAAATCTTGAGTTCTTTGAAATTTCAAGAATTTTGTCGTTTTCTTATCACAATTTGACTGAAAATAAAGAAATCTTTATTAAAATCTAATTTAAACGTTGAAATGGATCATAAAATAAAATTGCATCAGTCTTTTGAGTATTCCTCTTGTGTACTATTCCTCTTCATCAATAATCTGTTGGTCTGCTGCTATGATCTTAGTTAGGCATGTAGTAGTTCCAGTTTTTAACTGTGAGAACTGGAACTGCTGGAAAAAAGTTTTGAAATGAATTCAATAGAAGTTTTAAATTCTATTGAAGAAAACACGATAAAAAAATCAAAAATTATTTTAATAGGAATGCTTTTCGAAGCTGAAGTTTAAGGAGTATAAGTAATTGATTATAGAGCTCCTAACGGAACTGCTTCTATGATTTAAATAATCTACTGCGATCTCTATGAAATATTCTGTGCATTTTACGCATCTCTAAGTAAAGTCACTCGTGGGACAGCATCATAAGCGTTTGTGCATACCTTTAGGTATGATTTGTGTCAAAAGCAAAGTAGAGTAAAAGTTTTGTGTGAGGACTTGCAAAACGATCCTCTGAGTGCTCAAGAGTTTCGTAACTGTTTTGATTGTAGAAACACTTTTTCTATTTCATATGTTTCTATGATGCTGCCTCACGAGTGACTTCACTTAGAGATGCGTAAAAAGCACAGAAAATTTCATACAGATCGTAGTAGATTCTAGTCTGAACAATTCCAGTTCTAAACAGTTCCAGTACATAATCTTAGCTTTAAATAAATTATCAAATTTTTTATTCTACTCTTGTTTTAACCTTTATTAGAGCGTTTTCTAAACAAAACTAAAAGAAGTGGCAATAAATAAATAGAAATAATTGTAAATATATTCTAGCTCAATTCAAAAGAAACTGGTTTAATTAATTGGAATGATTTTTGTACGTATATGTTACAACATTATCAAGAAGAAGACTATGAGAATACTCTGCGTACATCACCATTTAATAGTGAACCCAAAATACGTCATGTACCACATAATAAGGTGAAAATGAACATATTTTTCTTCTAAATAATAAAACATAAGAATATTTATTACATTATTTAGCAAGAATTAACGGCAAAAATTTTACATTTGGAAAATCCTGTTAAATTTGTTAATATAAGCAAGGTATACTAATTATAACTATGATTAACAATTAATTGAATTTTAATTTCATATAGGAAGGTTATCTAGGATTATGGACAACAAATCTTGTACTAGAAAAAACATATTCAGCTGCTGATGAATTAGATGATGGTTTAAATAATCGTCGACGAGCTGGAATGTGGGTGACAGATGCTATTTATATGACAGATACCCATAAACTTGTTATTGCATCAACAAGTAGAGATTTAAGATTTTTTACAATATCAAGTGAAACATTTTTAGAAGAATATGCATTATTTGGCAAGATGAACACATTTTAAAATTTTTTTTTGTTAAAAATATACAATGATATTTAATTTTTAGGTCTTAAAAATGTACCCACATGTTTAGATTATTATGCAAGTGATAAAGTAAGATAGATCTTAATAATTACTTAAATAGTTTCTCCCATACATAATTATGTTTTTTGAGAGTGCCAATGGTGAGTCAGCATTGATGTTTGGCGATGATTGTGGTTATATCCATATATTATATTTTAAAAATCCCATAAATGCTCTATTCGATCCATTAAGGAAAAAATCGGATGCAGCTAAATTAGAGAAAACAGATGATGCTACACAGAGAATATTTTGGGAGGTATTTATTACATCTTAATTTATCGATATTTTCACTCATTTTTAGTTAAATATTTTGATTTTTACTCGGATTAAGAGACTAATAGAGTATTCCATTTCCATTCAAATGATATATTTAAAAAAAAAATATTCCAAAATTATTTTAATTAAAAATTTGGCAAAATATGAAAATCTCTCTTTCTCTCACTGTTTTTTTTTCGTAAAACACATGGTTTTCAACATCGCAGATGGATGAATGTATTTGAAAGAAGTACATGCGCGCTCAAGAAAAGCACGAAAAAGTTCTTGATGAGTACAGCGAACAAATGTCAACAATATTTACTTCTAAATGAAATTTGTTCGGTGCGATTGATTATCAATGAATGAAAAGTATTTTTTGGCGTAGAGAACAAGAAGCGATAAATAATTTTACTGCGAAAACATGAGTTGGCATTGAAAATCGCAAAACATGTATCTTTAAACATTCAATCGTTATCTGAATTCTATTCTGGTTATTAAAGTAATCAAAGACATTTACAGTATAATGTTGATGAACTTTTTGTATTTGACCAAGTTTTTGTTCCAAATAATTATGAAAAAATATACATCATTAGAATGGGAATCGAATACTCTATTTAGTTGTGATAAAATCAAAAATTTCAAAATGTTTAAATAAAAATGTATGAAAATAATAGACTTAAAACTGTATTGTTTTACATTATATTCATGATCGGTAACATATAGGAATTGAAAGATCATGAAAAATATGTTCGCTATTATTCAATGGGTCAAATACATGGCGAATATATTCGAAAAATTTTGTATGTACCCCATAATAATTCAATTATTGCATCAAGTGGTGATAATCGAAATTCATTAATTATTTCAAATGTAAATAAACTTAAAAAACCTTATATATTTCGATTATATAAGGTATGTATTGTATATTATAATAGAGAGATCAGATACATGTATTTTTTAATATTTAATTGATATTATCTAGGGTTGTGAATGTTTTGACTACAGTCGAACATTAAATCTTCTTCTTACCGGTGGTGCTGATTATTTGGCTCGTATTTGGAATCCATATGTAACATCAAAAAATATTTCAATTCTTGAAGGTCATCATGCGGCTGTTATCGATATTAAAATAAATGATCGATTAAAACAATGTTATACATTTAGTAAAGATGCGGTAAAGATAATAAATAAATTGTATTTGACATATAATAGACGTTATATAAAATTTAGGTTGTAAAAGCATGGGATCTAAAAGAATTTATATGCATTCAAACAATATCAATTCGATTTCCAAGTACATTATCAGGAAAAACGCCTAGTTTTGGATTATTTGCAACTGATTTTTATGTGAATACAAATCAAAATTCTGGTATGTATGTATAAGAATATATAAATATATAAATATTTAATTAAAATTGATTAAATACAAATATTTAGATTCAATGCCCGGTGCATTAGTATTAGCCTGCAATGATTATTTGTCCTTAATGAAATTGGGTCATGATAGTTCAAAAGATAGTTCTTTATCTGAAACACATAATGCACCATTGAGTTGTGCTATTTATAACAAGAAATTAAAACAAGTATATAATTATTATATACGTGTTTAATATTGTCTATTAGTTGTTGTTGTTTTTATTTTTAGCTTATAACATGCGCGGATGATTCGAGTCTTGGTGCATGGGATATTGAAAGTGGTCGAAAAGCATTTTTTATTGCCGATGCTCATGAAGGCGAAGAAATAACATGTGTTAATATTGATAAAGCATGTAGAAAAATTGGTACGGGTGCTAGAAATGGAGTTGTGAAAGTACGTAATTAATTTATTTTTTTTCTATTTTAAAATCTATTTTATCTAATTTTAATAAAAAAAGTTAAAAAAAATTGTAGATTTGGAATGCTGCTAATGGACACAATATTCATATTTTACCAAGTATAGATGATTCTGAAATTACCGGAATTATATTTGCTGATAAAGGATTAATTACTGTTGGATGGTCAAGAAAAATTGTCAAATATTCCGATATTATATCGGAGGTAAATTATTAAAGTCTGTTTTTAATAAATAGTAATGAAAAAATAATCATTTATTTAGGATAAAGATGATGAACAAAAAGGGGCGCGTGAGGTATAGACTGAGAACATAATTCTAATTTATTGTACATCTAACAAAAAAAAAATTTGAAAAATTTGAAAAATTTTTTACTAGCTCTAACAAACACATGAAATTTTTTTTTTTTTTTAAACTCACCTGTCAGTTTGTTTCTGACAGCAGAATTCATATTTATTTGTTTTTACAATCTAATTAAGATATAAATATATATTTGTTTAGCTTGTTCTTCCAAAACCAGATTTAACATGGCGTGGTTCACAAGTTCATAAAGATGATATATTATGTTGTGAATTTTTGTTACCAAATATTATGTGTACAGCTAGTTATGATGGTGAAATCAATGTTTGGAGTGTGGATACAGAAAAATTAATTATTTGTCTAAGAAAAGCTCCAAAAGTAGATACGTAAGTATACTGTAATTTAAGAAGTTCCATTTACTGTTTACTAATTTTTTTATCTTTTTTTTTCTAAAGGACAAAATCGGTATCAGATGGCCGAGAGAGTGCAATTAGAGGTTCCAAACGACCTAATTCTCGTCATCTCAAATATGAACAAATACCTCGTGGACAACCAATTCCAATTGATAAATTATTATTTTTAAAACATCGTGCTAAAGAAAATATGAAATTAGGTGTATTGTTTTCAAGTGAAGGTGGCTATTTGTATTGTTGGTCATTGTATGGTGAAAAAAAGAAGATGGCTTGTTTTTATGCTTCTTCGAAAGAAGGTGAATCCATATTGGCATTAAGCACAGATCAAAAGAATAATCGATTAATTTGTGGTGATACACGTGGTGAAATTCGTGTGTGGGATATTGAACATTATTGTTCACAACCAGAATTAGTAACAAGTGATATAAATAATGATGAACCACCTCTACTAATTGCATTTCAAGCACATCATTCAGTTATTATTAATTGTGAATGGATCGATTATAAAGAAAATGAATATCTAATAACATCATCGACAGATCATACTGCTCGACTATGGACAATGAATGGCGAAGAAATCGGAATATTTGGACAACGAAATTTTTGGGATATTGAATTGTTGTTAACAACAAGAGAGAATGAAACAAATGATAATCAAGATGAAAGAGGTATATGGTTTTTTTTTCCAATGATTAGGTGTTTGCATTTGATAAACTTTAATTTTTAGATTTTGTCTCAACAACTAAGAAATCAAATAACGATCTACCTCCAGAGATTCAAGTTACAACCGAAGAAAATGCACACATATCACGACCAAAATCTATGAAAAAAGAAGTTTCAGTTGATATATCAGAAGTAATGATCTTTTTCTATGTGTATCATTCTACGTTGATTGTTTCCACTATTGAAGGTCGATCAACGAAGTATAACGTTGCCGGCGCTACCTAGTGCACCGCAAAATTCACAAGAGCTCGATAATATATCAAATAGAGCAAAAACAGCCAGTCTATCACAGGTTACTTGAAAATATATTTTTCTATCTGCGTTTTCATTCGCATCTCGTTTATTTTTAGTCAACTTCGCTTGGATTAACGATTGAACGAGGTTTAACACAACAAAAATTTTATCGTCAAGAACGACGAAATCGTATTAGTGAAATCGATGGTAGACAACTGACAAAAGGTGGTGTGTGCTTCACACCATTTGCTTTATTAACAACCCAGGCATGTCAACATTATCAGTCAATTTCTTAGAATAAAACGGCTTTGTTTTCAGGAAATTGACCTACCCAATTTTGACAATACGTCAAATTATGCTACCGCTATGAATCACTCTCAACAAACCTCAAAACGTTCAAATATGGGGGACCTAACTCAATTTTCATCGTTCGATGACAGTGAAACACGAGATAAATTAACATTGCCACCAATAAGTCGACAAAAAACATCGATGACAACGGAAGATAAATATAGTTTACCATCAAGAAACAATACTTTTATGAAATCGGTGTCAGAAATTGTAAATTAATATTCATTTAGTTTTATAAAAAAATAAAATTTCTTATTTCTTTTCTCTTTTGTGTTAAATTTTCTTTATAATTAACCATAAATTCATATCTACAGAGTATTTCAAAAGTCACTACCGAAAAAGCATTTCTAAAACTTCGTCATTTCTTGGCCAAATGAGCTCTTTTTTGTTTGATTGATAGAGAAATGTTTAAAAATTTGGTAAGTTGTTGATCATCTCGACTCTCACCCTAAAGAATGTCCAGTTTGTCTGGTCCTGAAAATAGAGTGAAGACTTATTTACTTACAGGTATCTCTTTTTTTCTTTTTTTCTGGTCAGTTCCAAGGTCACAACAAGAAAGTGATAAAACCAAAATCAAGACAGTCTGCTTTTTCTACTGATCAGACAAACAGTAAATTTTGGTCTGGTCTGGTCTTGGTATTTTCTGAGAAACAGACACTGATCAGGTTCAAGACCAGATCTGGATTTTCTTTTTCATTTTTCAGCCAGCAAACAGTCGTCTTAGCATTTCAGATGAACTAAATATTACTCCGAAGCAGACTGATATGCCGCGACCACATAGAATAGATAGTCACATCTCATTTTACTTTCATGAAATTATTATTATTCTCTTCCTCTTTGTCTGTTACAAAAGTGCCCATTTCCCATTGAAACCTCTTGCAAACCAAGATCTCGAAAAACATGACATACACAAATGATAGACATATTAGTTGACAAGAGAAAGTGATCACTCTTAATCTGTTTTTCAGTTCTTCATCTAGTGCTTACGGCCATACCACGTTGAATGCACCAGTTCTCGTCCGATCACTGAAGTTAAGCAACGTCGGGCTCGGTTAGTACTAGGATGGGTGACCGCCTTGGAATACCGAGTGTCGTAAGCTTTTTACTTTTTCTCTTGTTTTTACGTGTTTTCCTAATAAATTTAAGTTCTGTGTTTTTAGTCACTCTTTAGGAGCCTTGCAACAAAATATGGAAACAAGACATTACTTATTGTAGCATCATTTCTCTATTTATTTTTGATATAGATTGCTGTTTTATCTGTAGTTTTTTCTTCAGGATAGTAATTCTAATAGAAACTTAGGCAATCATTAAAGATGTACAAAAAGAGTTTTGAAATTTCAAGAAATTTGATCAAAGTGAAACATATTCCATCTTATGCGAAGCGATTCGTGCTTCTACACAAAAGAAGAACATGTAAAAACAAGAGAAAAAGTAAAAAGCTTACGACACTCGGTATTCCAAGGCGGTCACCCATCCTAGTACTAACCGAGCCCGACGTTGCTTAACTTCAGTGATCGGACGAGAACTGGTGCATTCAACGTGGTATGGCCGTAAGCACTAGATGAAGAACTAAATATGTTCGTATCATTTGCCACATATCGAGGTCTTACTGCACAAATTTGTATTGCCAGCTAGTTATTAAAAGCAAGTTGAAGAAGTGTTACAACATGTTAAAACTTGTTTTCTGACTATCAAATCTCTAGTCAATCATAGCCCATCCATCCCATGCTCTTCACCACACAAAACTATATATCTTGACTAGATATATAAATTGATAGCTTTTGTGGCAGTTGAACTAAGTTTTAACTGTTGTAGTTTGTATATTGGATAACTGCTGATGAGGTAAGAGCAGTATCACAGCATATTCCTAGAATATGTCGCCTTTAGAAAATGGTAGCCTTAGAAAGCAAATGGTGCTGTAGAAAACTGTTTAACAGAATTAGTGTTTTGATTATTTTCAGAAAGCATCATAAGCAGCATGATAAAATCAAATTTTAACAATATTGGACATGAACTGTTAATCGAATGATTATTGAATCGAGTCAACGATACTTGTTATATTGAAATTAGTGATTATTAATACAGAATATCTATTAAATGTAAAGCTTGAATTTATACTGGATATTGTCTGCTAATTAATATTAATTAAAAACTTTTTAATTAAATGCATTTTAGCCACAGTTTCTTACAAACGTTTTTAGCTTTTTTGAGTTGCAAGATAAAATGATTTTTTCTGTGTTTATAAACATCATCCCCATGGCAAAAAAATAAATTTAACTGGTGTTGCTCCGTTGCTAGAAGAAACAATTTTTTTAAGTCAGCAAGGAAAAATAAGAAAAAATACTTGTGATTATCGATTTTCACAATCAAATTTCACTCTTTTTGCAAAGCCAATGTCATATTCAGAATCAGTGTCAAAAATCAAGCCGAATGATCTTTCTCACGACTCTATGCAATAAGGCTGACTTTTTTTCGAATTTTTAGCTCAGAAATGAAAATTATGCCAGGCAAAAATCATTTAGATATTGAATGAGAATAAAATAGTTTTAAAAGATAAAGAATGATAAAGCTGAACATTTGGCTTATTTTTGAAAATTTAGTAAATTTCACGATTTTTTATTTTCTGAAGTGAAAATTAAACATTAAATAGGTAAAATTGTCATTTTTCAAATGAGTTCTATGCAACCATGTTAAAAAACGCAAAAGACTTCCTGCATTTTTGAATTGCTGGTACGAAAAAAAGTTAGACTCTAAGATAAAGTCTGAACTATGTGGTAAAAATCTGGGCTTTTCTAAATGGATCAAAGAAAAAAGAGGTCTCCTTAAATAGAAAAGGCAGAGAGAAAAATACATTCTTTCCAGAGCTAGTAATGTGACTGGATTGGAATCATGAGTATTTTCTGGAGGACATGTAACATTACATCAGTCACTTTTTACAGAGTATTTACGAGAAGAAAGACCACTGCTACTGGGTATGAAATATTCAATTAAAATATTTGTCTGTACAGCTGACGAAAACATGTTATCAATTATATAAACATGCACTTAAATAACTGTTTACTTATTATGTATCTTTTGTTTGCTACAAGCGCAAATTTAATGTGTTTTTCGTTCGTCAGCGCAGATTAGTGATGTGCTACAATGCAGACATTGTTTAGATTATTTGCAAGAATTGAAAAACTATCTTACATAAATTTTTCAACGACACTTACAACCATAAGGATATTTGTACGAATATATTTGTTTTGTTAATTTTGTGTTCAATATAGCTGCACGAAACAAGAGCAAAATGAAAGAGATAATACAAAAAAAAGAAACAAGGAGAAAGAGTAGGATATGAAAACAAAACACGGTCCAGTAAAACAAACACATCGTCAGTATGACATTAGTCAACTTTTCTATTATCATTCAACATAGCAATCCATATTATATACTGTCCACCAGATCGAAACAAGATCGAATTATAAGAATAATCTCTAAATCCTAATAAGACAATGAGTTTTCAAAATATACAAACAGGAACTAGTGTGTGTATAAAACATATACTTCCACTAAACTCCAGAAAACATTATTTATACAATGAAAAAAAATTTTTAATTAATAGAAAGAAAGAAATACACGATTATAGGAGAGAGCATCCAAGAAAGCAAACACACAAACACATGCACGTAAGCAAAAAAGAATATATACAATCATATAAAAAATTTATATGACAAATAGAAAAGATGCATTGCAAACAAAAAGATAGGGTAAACAAACTATACAACAACAAACGACAAAAATACGAAAAAAACTTCTTTTGTTGGAAAAAATTAAACGAAAAAATAGTATAAGATCCAAAACAAAATGTCAGTTGAAAAAATGGTAGTCAGCATAAGGCTTCCATGAGATTTGGGTATATATATGAGTGTGTGTACGTGATAAAGTAGTAAAAGGGAACGTATAAAAAACTGAGACATTATTCAATTTTTTTTTTGATCGTAATCAAGATACCTGAAGACAGATGATAGACAGATACCTAAGTTCCGGTGCATATACTTCACTAAAAATGAGATTCTAAGAACTTAGTCTGTGAGGTGTAGGTTTCCCGTCTGTTTTTCGTATAGCAAACATCTCAACTAAATGGCAGTGGAATAGAGTGGATATTACATAATGATAGTTAATACATAACTTCGTATAACGTTGCTTTTTTATCACCTGACCCGGTTAATATATATCTATCATCTGTTGAAATGTCACAACATAAAACTGAACTAGATTCTTTTGATTGAAATAATAAAAAGCCTTGTGGTGTTTTACACGCATGAATAAAGTTATCTTTGCCAGCTGATATAAACCATTTCCCTTGATGGGAAAATTTTAATGAGAGAACACATGATTCATGTAAATTCAACGTATATTTATCTTGTTTTTTATTAATATTAATTAATTCAACTTGACTCGATTCCATTCCAACAGCTAACCAATCACCCGATGGACAATAGCCAAGTGTAAATATTTGTGATTGAAAATCATATATTTCTTGTTGTTTACCACTTGTTATATCCCAACAACGAACAGTATTATCTAAATAATAAAAACATTGTCATATTACACAATTTAAAGATTGTAGTTCGAGTTTGTTCTCAAGGGACTAAATTAAGTTTGAAATTTCTAAGAGCATCATGTGCTTTCTATTGTATTTCATAAATTTTTTTCATTGGAAATGGTAGGAAACGACGTTTAGAGCTGACTCCACTAAAATGCCGACGTTTTAAGAAATTACACTTTTTTCAAAAACGGAATAGCACCGAAGAAGAATTCGTAAAAATGAGTGGCAAAATTTCCTCTCAGTCGAGAAGATGGAACTTACACTGCACAAAATGAAACTGCGACAAAATTTAATGAGTTAACTATAGCTTTTCTTTACTAAAGGCTAAGAAACAATAGCAGTATTTGATCATCCGGGAATATTACGCAAATTTTATTAATCTCTTGAGTTTCTGATAATTCGTTTCGACATCACTCTTCAGTCAATTTTACACTATTGTTTTAGTAATTATCAGTACTTTTCACGAAAAAGGAGGTAAGAGGATATTTTTTAAAGGATGGCAAAGGGTCAGAACTAGTTTGCACATACCAAGTCCTCCTGTCCACATTTTTTTTCCATCTGGACATATGTCGATACACGATGTTCCATCTGTATGTCCTTGAAATTGTTTAATTAATTCTTGATTATGTATATCGTAAATGGCTATTGTACCGTCTGAACAGCAACAATAACATAATTTTGAATCTTGTGGTCCAATTGCTAAAGCATAACAAGCGGGTGCACTCAATTTTAATTCACCTTTAATACGTGGTGATTGTAGCGATGATTGTGATTGTGATGTCGGTGATGAATTGTTGTTAGGCGTTGATGATTGTGTGAAAGATAGATCACAAATTGAAATAATGTTTGCTTCACCACCGACAACAAGAGTTCGATCATCTGACAATAGTTTACAAAATCGAATATAACTGTCATCATTCAAACATTTAAAATTACATAATGGTTGACGAATGGCGCCGGTTTGTTTTAAATCCCAGACTTTAACACAACCCTTTCCACCCTAAAGTAGATACGACAGATCATAGCTAATTCGGCAATGTAGTATTAATCTAGAAATTCAGACTCATCTCTCTGTCATACTGCTACAGTCAAGTAAAACTAAAACCTGTTGATCAAACTAGAGTAACAATCTAGCTGAGGCATCGATTATCGACTTTTATTTTTGCTTCGCAAACTTTTTGTACTTAGTAACAGAGATAAAAACGAAGATTTTTAAAGTATGAAAACATTACCGTGTAGATTCGTTTCGATTGTTCACTGATTGTTACAGCACAAACCACTTCTCCATGTAATAATGTTGCTAATTCTCTCGCCGAATTTGGTATATTTACACCACCTAACGCTGTTTCTGGTGACATTGTTATTGGTGTTGTTATTTGATTTCCGTTTGGATCCGTCGTTGTAAAAAATGAATAGGCTTGATTCATCAAATGATTTCCACCTCCAGCACCGGCATTTCGTTGAGCAGCGGCTACAGCAGCACTTGAATGACAAAGAATATTGATAATAATGAGAAAATCATTTTTAAAAAAAACACTTACGCTGCAGCTTGTTGTTGTTGATGTGAAGATTGTAATAATCCATGTTGATGTGCCATAAGCGCTTGTGCTGCAGCAACATCCACTAAAATATGCAACATTCTCTAGATCAAACAAAACGTTCTCTATTTCTAATACAATGAATAAACTACCTTGAGAAAATGCATGAAATGGTGACGGTCCAAATGGCGAGTTCATCAACGCTCCTGAATGATGAAGAGCATTTGGTGTCAGACCGAAAGCGGCTGCAGCTGCTAATGCTTGAGCTTCTTGTGCTGATGTTGGGAATGCTCCAGGGAAACCAAAGCTTCCTGGTGGCACACCTAAAAAATAACCGCAATTAAAATAGATACTGGAGTGTCTGTAACTAAGATGTAAAACTATTCTAATGGAACCACTGTAGTTAGTTATCAATCACATAAAATAGGTGGACACATTTACTTTCATTGTGACATTCATAGATTGGATAAAACCACATACCTATTCGTCCAGCTAAAGCAGCCGGCATCAATGAAGCTGTTGGCATCATTTGTGCTTGTGAACCGCTCGTTGTTGGTGTTACTGCTTTTGATACGGGTGTTGTTCTCTCTCGTTTTAACGATGGTGTGCTACGCTGTGAATCTTTGTCTGACATCGGACTACGGTCACGTCGATTGCGAGTTAAAGAATTATTTCCATTCGATGAGATAAGACTTGTGGTGGGAGCTGTGTTATCATCTAATGCTTCGGTTTTCACACCGTTTAATAGTAACAAACCGCCGTTAGCATGAGATTTACCTAGAACAAGGAAAAAACGTGCTCATTTAAGTATGTGTAATGAAAATTGCCAAAGAAAAGTTTTTTTTTGTTGACTATACTGTATATCTTTTTCATCTTTTCCTCTTGATACTTACCTTCTTTATTGTTGTTTTCATGGTGATTATTATTGGTATTATGATTTTGATGATGACTATGTGATTTTGTTGATGTTTGTTCACTATGACTAGATGTCGATCGCTGCTGACCAACACTTGTATCAATAACAAGATCCCCCGCTTCACTTCGTTCACTATCGCTTATATCAGCTTGTTGTTGTTGACGTTCTTGTTGTCTGTCTTGATTACGAGAGTCTGTCTGAGATTGATGACGTTGTGTTTGATGTGAACTACGATGTTTTGATAAATTTGACGTTGAAGATGAGGAAGAAGAACGATGTTTATTTGTGGAGGATTTAGAGTGATGATTATGTGACGAATTCGGTGTGCATAACGGAGAACGGGTACTAGTTCGCCCGGTTTTATCATTCTGTACCGAATTATTATTTTGTCTTAAGCTTGGTGAAAATGATGAGTTTGTTGGATCTTTTTCTTCCTTTAAACCAGCAGACGATAAAGTCGTTGTAGGTGTGGTGGTAGAAGAAGCTCCCGTGCTCGTATTATTTCCGTATTGATTGGCTAAACCACTTAGAACACCTAAAACAGTCAACAATAATATAAGAATTAGAGTAAACAAAGAATAGTAGAGCGGTATAAGTTAAGGTATTTCAATTCGTAAATAACTTACTTGTATAACTCAACAATCCGGGTGGCAAACCTGCTAGATTTGCAGCTGAAACACCTGTGGGCAACATGCCAGGTAATTGTAGATGCTGAAATATAGAAAAATAGTGTGGCTAGACATGCGTTATTGAAGAAAAGCCAGAAATATCAATGCATCATAGCTATTTTCCGTGCCAAAAGCGATTTCGCACAAAATGAATTACTTACTGGCGTGCCCGCAGGTGTTGTTGGTCCACCGACTGAATTGCCAGTAGCTGGTGGCGATTGATGTTGAGCAGCGCTCGCCGCGGCCAAGGCGGCAGCTGTTGCTTGGGCATGAAACTGTTGTTGGATGGCGCTGAATGGAGAAGAAATACACTTTACAGTAAACATTAAGTGCTTTATGTAAACTACACATAATTTTGTTAGAAGAAACCTATTTCTTTCTCAGTTCTCTTCAGAGGCTTTTCAAAAATAGTTTTTTTAAATTATTTTTCAATCAAATATTCAATTAACCAAGGACTGGTATTAATCCATCATTCATCTGTCTAAAAAATCTTTTTTCTCAGATACCTATTTAAATCATTCATTGTCACTTGTTTTGCTCGTTCCAATGCCGGAATGGCTTGTTGCTGTTGTTCTGGTGTAAGAAATGGTATTATTTGATGTAACAAATTGATAAGTCTCTTCGTGATTTCTGTTTGTTTATGCATTTCATACGATAAACGATAGGACATTTCGTAGTAAAGAAAGTATTGTCGTTGAAATTCATTCTTTTCTTGCGATAATTTTTCACATTCCAAACGTAGCTGTTGACATTGGCCTTGAATATGAGAAAATTCTTTTTCTAAACGATCACATACATCATTAACACTAAAATCGAATTGAGACGATTGCATTGTTGTCGATGGTCCAGAACGTGGATACATTGTTGTTGATAGCTTGTTTATTGGAAATTGATTAACGCGTTAAAACACTACTACATTCCTGAACATAAAATCAATACTATACTCAATGTATGAAACTGGCAACGATTTTGACTGTAATATGTTTTTTGAAAACTTTTGTTTTTCAGAAACTATCACGTTCAATGAAGTCAAGTATATTATCGTTTAATCTACTGAGATAAGGTTCCAAATTTTAATACAACTTGCGAAATTTCAGAGATCCTGTTTCGCCGCTTGATCATCTGATATAAAAATCGATTTCTTACGTGAATAAAAAAGAGTGTATAGGGAATTGTCTGAAATGTCAATTATAACATTTGCTATTGTGCTTGCTCAATAATTTCGTTTGATTAAAACATAAGATATCTCTCAGATTTGAACATAATAAATAAAGGGAAAGATATAAAAAAATATCTAAAACATAACAGTAGTAATTACATTCCAATATCCTAGGAAAGATTATAATTAAATAGCTACGTCAAACTTTGAACATATTTAAAATTATATATTCAAGGCACAGAGAAACTATGATAAAAAGCTCAAATTGGCAGAGGCTAAGTCATTAAAGCAGATAATTACTTTGTCAAATAAATTAATCAGATCAGACGGTTTAAAAAGACAAATATATGCCTGCCTACCACCATTAAATACGTCAATGTACGGAAAAAGCTCATCACAGCCAATGAAGATAAAGTGCATAGATAACTTAAACAAGACCACGACGAAAGAAGTCGTTAATGACTGTAAGGTACTAGAGAGTATGGATAAAAGTAAAGTTTGATTTATTTGGTTTCGTTTCTCTTCGGTACTGTAAACTATTTTTCTCTTTAACCTCTCGCGCAGACGATTCTACCAGAATATAGTAAAGCGTTTTGAATTTTCTGTATGTTAGCTAATCTCGACAAAGGGTTGAAATAAAAGAAAGATGTTTTAAATTGTTTTTGTACAGCACATGCCATTCCAAAATCCTTATGCTAGTCATTACACAGAGGGCTTATCATATTTGTGTGCATAGTTTTACTACGTCGACTAACTGATTCAACTTTTTGTGCGAGTGATTCGCTAATTTTGTTTTATAAAACTATATCATTTTTTTCGTTGTAGAACTGAAAACTTACCATGTAAAAATTATATTTATTCGATGGCAAATGATGAGAATTCTACTAAAGCGATAAAATCTAACATATCACCGTAAGTATTCTGGTGAAATTTTCGCAGATGTTTCCCATCAATATTCGACAAGGGATCACAACTTTCCGGATTTTTATCTGAGTGTCAATGCTACATGTTCCCTCCTATAGCTTTAGTGTTTGATCAGCTACGATGGCTCAGATAGTTTAGAGATAAACTTGAAATTTTAATATTTCCTGCATTGTGTTCGTTGTTGTCCTATGGTACAATCTCGTCGGATATTCATCCGTAATAGTTGTCGTATGTACTTCAATCTTAATTTATTTTCCTACAGTTGGAATCATGGGCGTATTCAGCGTTCAACGGCTGAACAATTATTATTTGATAAAAAACTTGGCACATTTCTTGTTCGTGAAAGTGAACATTATCCGGGTGACTACACACTCTCCATAAAAGATGATTCAAAAATTCAACATTATAGAGTAAAAATATTGCCAGATGGCTCGTATACAGTAGATGATGAAATTTTTTTCGAAGATTTAAAACAATTAATCGAGGTAATGTTAATATGAATGGAATGAAAATGAATGATTTATGTTTGCCATTTTTTTTAGCATTATGAGTTAGATGCTGATGGGTTATGTTGTCGACTTGAACAAGCTGTATTCAATAATAATAGAAACATGAACGGTGTGGATGATCTAATAGATTCGATTCCACCGATATCAACATTATTACCTGAATCAATCATTGATTATAGAGAATTAACAGTTGGAAAAACAATTGGAAGTGGAGAATTTGCAGGTAAGAATGTTTATGTTAGAAAAGTATAGATACATCCAAATACTGTCTGATAAGTGCTGTCCGTTCCCAATGTTGGTGTATATATTTGATTAGTACCTTTGTAAGAGTGGATCATTTTTTTAGCAACTCGAAACATCACAACATTTTTTTGCTTGTTTATAGAAGTTTATGAAGGAACATATAGAAAAACTCGCGTTGCTATTAAAGTATTAAAAGAATCAAATTCAGCTGCATTGTTTCTTCGCGAAGCCGATATTATGTCGTAAGTTTGTTGATATTTTATATTTATTGTATCTATTTATTGTTGTTTATCTATTTAGCTCATTAAAACACCCGAATCTTGTTCAGTTATTAGGTGTTGCACAGAAACCAGATAATGTTATTTATTTAGTGACAGAATTTATGGCTAAAGGAAGTCTGTTGCATTATTTAACAACACGTGGAAGATCAGTTATATTAAAGACAGATTTATTAGGCTTTGCTATGTAAGTTAGAACACTTTCTGTTTGTGTAGATCTAGCTCAACTTTTGTAATATTGCTTGTAAGTGTGAAGTTAGTCCATTAATAACGATCATATGATGATAGACAATATGTATTGCTATTCCCTCTGAAAAATATATGAATTCGATAAACATATTTATCTGATGGTTGTCTGTAAATATAGTTTGATAAAACAGAAAGGATTTAGCCGTGTTTCTCTCCTTTATACCAGAAGAGATTTGTGATTGTAGCAAGTTAGTTGTATACAGTTCGTTAAAGTACTAGTATCCCTCTTATAGATAACATTTATTTTTAATATGAATTGTGTTTTTTTGTTTTAGAGATACATGTGAAGGTCTCAGTTATTTAGAACAAAATCATATTGTTCATCGAGATGTAGCTGCAAGCAATGTCTTGATAGCTGATGATAATACAGCGAAAGTGAGTGATTTTGGGCTGGCAAAATCGGCTGAACAAAATGAATGTGAAAGAATAAAATGTAGAACAAAATGGACGGCGCCAGAAGCATTAGAATCAAAAGTATATAGTTACTGGAATAAAAGTATTGTTGGATTTTAGTCCATTTGTTCTTTCTAGAAATATACACACAAGAGTGATATGTGGAGTTATGGAATTTTGTTGTGGGAAATTTATTCATATGGAAGATGTCCTTATCCTAGAATTGTAAGTATTACATTATCAAAAACAAGTTGCTAAATACTTTCAGACATTTTATCTACTTGTACTGTAAAATTTCCTTTTATTATGTTCGTTTCTATGCTTATCTTCCTAATTTAGCCTGCCAATGAGGTATTAATTAATTTGAAACAAGGACACAGAATGGAACCGCCTGATGGTTGTCCTGTAGAAATCGGTGAAATCATGCGTCAATCGTGGTTAAATGATCCCGATAAACGTCCAACATTTTCCAGTATACTTGATAGATTAAAACAAATTAGAGAACGATTACTACAAAATTAGCCAGCCTATTTTGTGTTTTTGTTTTCTTTTTCTATCACTTTATCTCATCCAGCATCATTCCGATTTTCAATATAAATTATTCGCAAGTCATTCAGTTATGTTGTGGAGATAGTTTACAGAGAATTTGGCTAAAACAATCGCAGACAACAGCGTCTCACCTCAACAAAATTTTGTATCGAGTATGATCGTTATAGTCTAAGGACTTTTCTTTCAATCTGATTGTTATTAACTGATCAATTTTTCTTTTTTTTTAATAAATGTACTTATAAATTATTTGCTTTGTTTTCTACATTTGATAGTGTAATTGTTCACAATCATGGTAGCTTCTTAGTATAGCCGAATATATTTATGAAAATATTTTTTTTGTTTTTCATACAATCTATGCAATAGACAGTTATTTCTAAATTTATTTGTAAATTTGTTTTGTTTTCTTTTGCCAAATGTGCCTAATCAAGTAAATTAAATAACAACGATTTTTACTCTAAATATATATACGACAAACGAAGATAATATGATGTGTTAGGTTTTTGTACATTTTTTGTGTTTTGTTACTCTCTCATTTCGCTCATTTTTCAAAAATGACAAGGCATCGTTTTTTATCTATGCTCAATTTATTGTAAATACTCATGGTGTTTTTAATGTTTTGTTTTTTTTTTGATTAAAATAGTTGTTATTGTATAACAAAAAGCGAAAGTGAATTTATATATATTCGTCAGTTAAGTGGTTTTCGCATCACGTTATCATTTTTTTCCTGATTTTCAATTGTTTTCCTGCATCGATTTTGTTTTTTTCCAAAACTGAGATTATCAGTTTTAGACACAGAATTTCTGGATCAAGAATCTAAATAATTGTACAGTCAAAGAGCTCACTGTGTGCTTATCGAATGTTCTCATCATAAGAAGATGAGATTAGTGAACGTCCAAACGTATCGGATCAAAATCTTCTTCCTCAATCCGTACTGCAGTCTGTAACAAATGATAATATTGTATCATCAAAAAATTTTTTTTTTGAAAAAGTTATTTGATTTTTTTGTTTTACTTGTCCAAGAAAAAACTGTCTGACACTCTCCTGATTTTTACGAAAAATTGGATTTAGCTCACCCTGTTTCGCATAGAAAAAGAATGAATAAATACATCTTTGATCACGGAAATTAAGCACAATTGATCCTGTTTACTAATTTTTGCAAAAAAATGCAAAATGATCCCAGTTTACCTAATAACTTTTAATTACTTGTAAAATAATACAACTGATCGCTGAAAAAGCTATTTTTATTCTTGAACAATATAGTTGATCTCGGAAAATTAGCAAGTCCTTCAACCTGAGGCTCATTGAGCAGCTATGTGATCTTTTGGTAGTTAATTGTACTTCATGACTTTCCGGCTTTCTTTTCGGTTTATGATAGCTAGAGGCAATGTGCAACTTTTGCTTATTAAGTGATTAATCTGATAAATCTATAACAGAAAACAGTTTAGATTAGGGATAGGTAAGATTTGTTTCATATAATCAAATAAGCGTATACAATTTGAGCTGTTTATCTATACTACAGATTGACTACTTTTGTATACGGTCGATTACGGGAAACATAATTTGGAACAATGTATCTGCAATATCATTACCTTATATCACAAGGACGACAGTCCGTCTTGTCGAAAAGTATAAAAGCGTTTGTAAAAGGAATATTCTTCACGACGTATAATTCTTACTTTAAAAATATACTGTTATCAACATGTCTACCCAAATATGGCAAGATTTTTTTAATGTAAAGATAAAGATGAGTTTTTAACAATGACCAAAGAAAATAATACATCGAAAAAACGTACAGAACAACTTGTTTATGGATTGTGCTGTACATATATTTGTTTAGAATATCGGAAATATTCATTATGTAAATTTCAATTGAAAGCAAAACAGTCGTCTGATGCTACATATGAATTATTTTTATGAAATCTTTTCCATAATATCAATGTGAAGTTAAATCCTATGGTTAAAGTTAGACTACATAGCTGTTCAATGAGCCTCAGGCTGGAGGACGGTGCCATGACTTGCTAATTTTCCGGAATCGATTATGTTATTCAAGACAAAAAATAGCCTTTTTCGGAATCACTTGTATTATTTTATAACTATTTTTCATTCAAAAAAAGAACAACCTATGGCTATTTTTTTAATAGTTCAGTTGTGAGTGAATTATGTATTTTGTAGCTTTTGGTGGAAATAGTCAAAAATGGATTATTTCGTCTGGTATCGATCTTCACTAGGTTTTTGCACTTTCTTCTGCAAAGAAACATTAGCACGATATTCGCGATGGTTGAAAATCTCTATTTCAATAACTCTTGAGGCTTCTACACCAAAATATTGAGCAGTCCTAGGGCTTTGAGGAAAATGTCTGTAACTACCGAACCATAGCAAATAAAGATGTCGCTTAGATCTCGTTTTATAGAAGACACTTTCTTCTATCTACTGATGTAGAAAAACCAATAGTTTAGTATTTGAAATTTTTCCGTAATACACGGGTTTTCTAGAAGATTCCTTCAAAAATGGATTTTTGAAAAACTTCTCGCTTATAAAAAGATACTTCATAAATTTTTCTTTCCGTATCTGAAGACCCCGTCTCTCTAGCTCGTTTGATCTTTGAGTTATTCCAAAAAAAAACAGCTATAGATTGTTTTGTTTTTGGATGGACAATAATCAAAAATTACCAGGAAAACCGGGATCATTTGTGTATTTTTTGGCGAAAATTACTAAACCTAATCAATTGTGCTTATTTTTCTGGAATAAAAACTGTAAGTGTCCAAAAGAATGACCGTTAATGGCAGAAGTAGCCGTTAGTAGCAGCGTATAATAACAAAGATTCATCTTTTTGTTTGGTTTGAAAAAGCTTGAATAATGATGTTGATGAATAAATAACGCATAGTGGATTAGCTTTGTCGAATTGACTATAATTTCAATCAAGTCAGTAGCATTCTTCACATTGTTTATTTTAGCTATTTTTATGAAGGATTATTTAATTAACAAACCATTATTGGATAATATAATGTAAGTTAATGAAGTACGACGAAATCTCATTAATATATTGTAATGATTCATTTTAAGTTGTCAAGTACCATGATTAATGTTAATATAGGCTTCAAATGCTGTTATTTTCTATCACTACATATATTTTCTCGTTTATTTGATGAGATATTTTTTTTAATCAATACTGTGTACATTGAAATATAAGAGAAAAAAATAATAAATAACTTTCAACAAAAAACTACTACCTAGATAGTAAAAGAGAGCACAACTTTATATTTTAAATGTTTTTTACAAAGGTGTTTATTATAGTTACTATCAATAATAATAATAAAGAAAATAATTTTTGGCGTCAGGAGTGGTGAGCAAAGAGAGAGAGAGAGAGAATACTAACGATTTGTCTTCATTACTTTCTCGCCTTTTTTTCTATTGAAGAATCGCGATCATATGTATGCTGTATGTACATCATCTGATAATTGAATCAATTTGACAAGAAGACGTTGAAGAAAAAAACCTGAATATTGATACACAAATGAGTATGGATAGAAAAAACGACGATAGAAAGGGAGAAATAGCCTCTGTATGCTAATATGTACATGCATGATCGTACGACCTACGCTCTGCTCTCTCACTTTCGTTCGCTCTTTATGAAGGATTACATTCAATAGTACTAAAAATGACAAGGTTGCGGTTATACCTGCCTTCTTTTCTCTTATTTTTCTTTCCTTTAAGTACAATGTGCTATGACAGTTCAACGACCGTAAAAAAATAAAATAAAATAACCATACACGCATGAAGGGAAGAGAAATGGGAAGGGCAGAAAAAAATCTCCGAAAAGCGTACCATACATATATGAAGAAAAACTATACGATAGTGATGATATAGGAATGGTAATGGTGATATATGGTTAAAAGAAAACCTTGAGTCAGTCGTTGAATATATCCGACTGTCTCTTACTCTTTATCGTTAAATTGAACTGTATAGTACGGTTTGGTTATCGAAATTAGAGTTTCAAAATAACACATATAAAAAAAACACTCGTCAAAAAATTATTTAGATAACAAGACCATTATTAATAATGTAAGTAATTACGAATTAAAATATTATCAAAAATAAATCAATAGATTGTAGAATAAATAATCAAGAGACATTAGGCTTACTAGACTAAATCTTGAATTATTAAATATATATCCTCTTCATAAAAGTATAAACATTCTCTTTTGTCTTTAATTTTAATCCATAGTCTGTATATTTCACTTTTTGAAGGACGAGTTAGATTGACGTTACCAGTTCCGTATGACAACGTCAATATTGAATAGAAATGGGTATCGTTTGTTTCCTAGATTTGAATCCTCATCGTTTATTCATCGTTCTCACTCACGAACACTGCAAACAATACCAAAATGTCATCGTCTAGAATCACGAATTATTTCACAATCATCTAATTATTATGCATCGTGTCCTCGTGAATCTTTTCCTTCATTGATTATTCAACAAAAACAACATCAAATTCATTATCCTTATCAATTCAAACCATATGATAATACTAGTGAATATTGTGATTTATTTAATCTTTTAGAATCTGATGTAGAATTAAAATTATTAACAAATACAACATCAATACCATCTGATTATTGGCAATATCATCAGCCTCTATCAAGACGAATAAAACGTCATACAAAACAACAGCAACATCAATCTCAATATGGAAATACGGCAAGAAAACATTCACATAATTATAAACAGCGTAATATTGGTAATCGTCGACGATCAGTTGATTTTGAATATGCTCATGCACGTTTAAATCGAGATAAATTTGTTCATGAAAATCATCGAGTTTTATTAGCTGAATGTTGTACGAGTAATGGTGCCATTGGAATTGAACATCGAGCATTATTACCAAACAAAAAGAGTAGAGTAAAAATTGCTGTTAGTGATGAAAGAAAAATAAAAAATCAAATAAGACAAAGTAGTTTTTGGCGTTTGGCATTGAATTATTTTTGCATTCCAGTTGGTGGACGATAGTATTCGTCTATTGAACTAAATGAGGGATTTCGTGTGTAAATCTACCCATTGATGATTAATTTCAAAAAGTTTTTTTGGATTTTAAGCGAGTAACTATTCATTTAAGTGATCATATTTTGATATAAGAATCAACAAGGACACATTAGAATATAAGTTTTCAGTGTACAAGTGTAATAGTGAATAAAAAATGATTCTTGAAGGTAGAGACTTTTTTTACTAATGAGATGTTTTAGATTAATATAAATGAGCATTTCTTTATTCACTAAATCTAATATTTTCAGAAAAATGATGATCTGGAGAAGCAATATGTTAAGTTACTAAAAAAAGAGAAGATCATTTTTTTCATATGTTAAATATCGCTAGGAAAAAAGACAGATTGTTGCATGTATTCTTGTAAATTATATTCAAGTCTAGGAAAAGAATCATCACGAACATGAATCAATAGTTAATAAAGTCATAGTAAACAATTTGGTAGTGCAGTAAATAAATACAAAATAGTTAGTGTTGGCTCAATGGAAAAATATCTTATGGGGAAGAAGGACAATCACGTTCTCTACACAGTTTTGGGTTTGTTAATTGTAACACTGAAATATAGTCTTTTACGTTCATTTCTTTTTCTGCTATTTTAGAGCAGGAAGAATGTGATCGACCATTCTATGTCTTAAAAATCTTATAACGGTTGAATGAAAACGAATTCAGATTCGAAAACTGTCTTATTAGGAAGAGCAAACGATGCTCTTGAAAATAGGAATTAAGCAAATTCACCAAACTGTTTCGTTTGGTCAGTATGATAGGAACCACAATGGACTCTCACTAGATTAAATTTTGCTGAGTAGTAGTTAATCTTTTAGCTACTTGTCCTAAACAAAACATTTTGGAACGTTTACTTAATTCTCATTTTCAAGAGCGTCTTTTCCTCTTTCCAATGAAACATTGCTCGAATATGAATTCATTTTCATTCAAACGTTATAAGGTTTTTAACCCTTTACCCCCCAATACAAATGCCTTTTGAAAGTTTCAGAAAAGCCAGGTAGATAAGAGATGATATGATACAGAATGGTCACTCCTGTGACCATTGGGAGGGAATGACTTGAAAAAGTCCCATTTTGGGCTTTCGTAAATTTGATATAGTTCGACCAAAAAACGTCGCAGAGAGTTCGGGACATCTCATTTTGTAGAGAATTGTATTAATTAATTGTTTTTTGGTCGAACTATATCAAATTTATAAAAGTCCAAAATAGGACTTTTTCGAGTTATTCCCCCCAATGGTCACTGGAGTAACCAAACTACCCTGCACAAACGAGAGTGCGCCTGATCGATCTGTCCATACTAGTGCTATATTAGAGACACCAGTACTCTATTCCAGTAGTTGTTTCATCAGTGGCTCTTCTGGAACCGCTGTGGGAGGGTAAAGGGCTAACATGCTGAAAAAACGCTACGAAATCACTCTCTCGGTAGCAGAGTTACGTGCAATATCCGTGATGGAAATTTTTCAATCGAATCATCAGTTTGTGGCTTGTATATATATAAATGCTCGTTTGAAATAAGTCAGCCGAAATTATATATATTTTTTACTATTTCGCATTTCAGTAGACGAAGCAAATGTTGTGTACTAGAAAGTAATAATATCATCTGTAATATTTTTTTTGTAACCTGATAAAAAATATTAAATGTACAATACAGCAATTTAATATCACCAAGAGAACTGTGAGAATCATTGATCAATGGGAATATAATCCTTCAACAATATCACGGAGGTACTTTTTAGTCCACCAAGTGTAACTCACTTACGACTACAAGAGAGTCGCAATAGGTATTTTCCACTAGACAACCGAACATCAAGTTTTTTTTATCATCGAAAATGATTGTTTTTAACTTAAGGGAGAGTCCCTCCATTTAGATTTTTCTCTAACGTTCCCAATTTGTCGAGAACACTTCGAAGTATATGTCCTGAAGTTTTTTCGGCTTACTGACAGTATTTGGCTGAGAAAAAAATTAATTACTTAAAAAAATGTTGTTAAATTTTTGAACAAGAGATTATTATTAAAAAAATTTCTGTCCATTCTCCATTCATCACAAAAGCTGCGTTCTTGCCTAGATCGATAAAGAAATGTGTGAAGAATATTTATTACGAGAAAATATGCAAGAATTTTTGTTCTTTCCTTCCTGGTATTGACTAATTAATACTACTTAACGCTACTTTAGCCTACTCTACTAGCATAAAGTCTTATTTGTAAAATAGCAACGCAACAAAAAAATTCAAGCAATATCTCATCTGACAGGGAATTTCACGGGCTACAATATGGACTATCTTAAAAATTCAATTCGTTTTTGGTCGCTCGGTAAGTCTGGTAAGTCGAAAATTTAACAATATTGTTTTAAGTAATTAATAGTTTTCTCCGTCAAATAATTTCAGTAACCCAAAAAAACTTCCGAACATACACTTCGAAGGGTCCTCTACACACCGGGAAGGCTTGAAGAAAAAATTCAAAACTTGAAAATATCGCTGGTTTTTGGCTCATCGAAGATTTTTTACCGTTTGAGCACGTTTCATGAGTACGTCTTACTCCAGTGAGGTGTATTTTAGTGCGTCTATTTTTAGCGCGTCTCATTTGAATGCGTTCGCATCTGAGTGCATTCCTATTTTGGCGCGTCTCATTTGGGTGCGCTCGCATTTTAGTGCGTCTCATTTGACCATATTCTCGTTTTAGTGTGTCTTATTGTGGTGCGTTTTCAATTACACA